AACATTTCAACATTTTTAAGAAAGAAAAACAAATCTATCATTTATATATCTATTTGGTAAAAATAAATGTTATCGAATAACGACAAAAAATAATCATTATATCATACAAAATTATCAGATATATCGACTAATTTTATTTTTTACAACGAACAAATCTATTAGATATGGCGACAAATTATTTGCTAATTATTTTGATAGAGGTGTCAATATTTCAAATACTTCTAAAATAGAAAAAAAAATCTATCATTTGTATATCTATTTGGTAAAAATAAATGTTATCGAATAACGACAAAAAATAATCATTATATCGAACAAAATTATTAGATATATCAACTGAAAAAACTTTTTATAACGAACAAATCTATTAGATACGGCGACAAAAAAAAACTTTATCAAACGGACTAAATTGTCGTATACAGCAAAAACAAAAATTAAAATACAATAATATTTTTTTGTAATGAACAATATTATCGAAAACGATAATAAAAATTATTTTATTAGATAAAATTATCGAACACAACGATAAATTATCGAATGAGATGATAAGATTGTTATATATAGTGACAAATATAATTATGTCATATATATGGAAAATTTTATAATTTAGTGGAGCATTAAATTTGTCATTTTTAATTGCTATTTACATTTTTAGTTATAATAAATATTTGAATTTAATTAGAATAATTATATACTTGAATATGTGCATAACAAAATCTATTCAGTCAAAACTATATTATAAAGCTAAATTTGTTTTTTATGTTTATCTCTTTATAAATACTTTATAATAAAAAAATAAAAAAATTGGCGTTAGAATGCTTTTATGAAAAAGGTGATTATTTTTGTTTTTTTTGTAAAACCTTTTTTGATGTTTATCTTTGTTGCATGCAAAATGTTTATCATGTGAGTGACTCCCATAATTATTTATTTTAAAAAAAAACTCATGTCTGAAAAATGTAAAAGATCTACTAAAATGCTAGTATGAAATACATATGCTATATATTTGTAGTTATAAGTGTCGTTTTAGCATACACTTATTTTTAAAAGTGTGCAAATTTCTAACTGCTCTACATTAATGCATAAACTAAATTTATATTTATTTATTTCATTAACTGAAATAATATGGATTTAATTTAAGCTTTTGCATTAAAGAATACATCCATTATAGATTTAATATAAACATGAATAAAATCGTAAAATACTATACTTATTATGAAATGAAGAAAGTAATATACATCTTAAAAGATACTGTATATGTGCTGTTAAGTTTTAGCATCAATCAGTTAGCAACTGTTCTCGATTTCTTTTTAAAAGTAACACTCCTCATTTCTCACAATCTATCTATTGCTATATAGCTATAAATTTAAACGATCATAATCATCTAAGTATATGTGATATTATGGTAAAATATCAGATAAGTTCACTGAAATTGACTCAGTAAGCAATTGAATTCCACATTAGCTTGGGTGATAGGATGTTGGCATCGATATCTTTAAAATTGTCCTTAAGAATTAACTATTAAGTACCGATATTACGACGAGGGAAAGATATTAAAAGCTTATTAAAGAGACGCAGATTTCAGCATTAGAATCTGGAAATTACGGACAAACGACTTTAAATTAAAGAAATGCAAACGAAGCAGCGGCGCATCAAAAGCTGAGAAAAATTTTGGATATGTGGCAAAATCACGAGGACGCGCGGCTCAGGAACCGCGTTTTAATGGTAACGCGTGAGGCTCACGTCTCAGGGTCCCACTACCGTCACTGGGGGAGCCGTTTCAAGGAATCGCTTGAAAGAGCGTTATGCGTTTGATTGATTTCCGGTGACACAAGCCAAAGCAGCCGCCCTTTCGCAAAAAAATCCAAATGTCGGGTCCCACCTCACCTTTTTAAATTAATACTTTTTTCCTTTTTTCTTGATCTTCTCATGCCACGTTGTAAACTTGACGCGTGGCCTATGATTAAGGGATGCACAAAGAGAGAGGAAACGATTCCCCGTCGGTTAACCGCAAATTCTAACGATGGTGGGCCCACCGTCAAAAGCAAGTTTCTCTCGAAATGACGGAATTAAATTTGACGGCAGGAGGACACCAACACCGTGAGGTTTCATTTTAATTTATTACTTAATTAAGTTCCCGTTAATTAGTTTAATTATTGTGGTTGTGTCATTGTGTGTGTGTGTGTTTTTCCTTTAACGACTCGGTCAACAGTCGACACTTCACAACTACTTATGTCTTCACGCCTTGATTAATGGATTGGGTTATCTTGCGCCAACGGATTAAATTGTACTAATATAAGAATTTAAACATCATCATCATGAGACTGTATTTAATTATTTAATGACGACCATATATATATATATATATAACGTTGAATTCAAAAAGGTCTTTTTCATTTCATGTTCCGGATATTTTAAAATTAACCAAAAAGGATTATAAAACCCCCCAAAATTTATACACTGGAATTGATATCATATAATAATCAGGGTTAATCCCGTTTAATAAATCTCTTGCTGCTACGAAATGTTAACATTATATAAGAGATGTTGGCTTGCTTACAAAACACGTATGGATTTATCACTCAACCAACAATTCCAAAGTATTTTTCACATTTCAAGCTATATATATATTCCATCGGCTCACTTATACCAATTTGTACATAGGCCCACATAATTTTTTCGCAAGCCCATAGGAGTTTTAATAATTTATCATCGTAATTTGCTTTTGTTCTTGCCATGCATATTCCTCAAGCTATTCTCTACCTTAGGCCTCTCTAGTCTCTACCTATGTAGAAGACGAGAGTCGCGGATTTAGATTACATTGGTTGTTGAGCAATAGGGTTCGAACTTGCTTGTTTCTATGCTTTACATAATATATATTTTTTGGTGTGGAAATGTGGAAAACAACTTTTCAATTTCATCTCTTTAATTAATAGTTGCATAACCTAATTACCATTAAAATATTTACCAGTTTGAACATATTTGTGTCATCCCCTGTAGGCCTGTACCATATCTATTAGATTGAAATATGCAAAATTTTGTAATGACTTGGAGTTAAATTAATCACCTTAAATATCTGAAAATAAAAATAAATTATTATAAGATTTTACGAATGTTCATATTTGGATGTATATATTATTGTTTGAATGATATTAATAATATTTTGTTTGGTGATAAAGTTAACTATGTTTTGTTTAGTAAAATAGTTTGAAAAGTTTTGTTTGAGAAATAAAACATCACATAATTAAAAAAGGAAAATATACAGTGCTATATTATAGCATTGTTTGAAAATGTCAGTAGTTAAAAAAAAAATATATATATATATTATTGCTCTCTGGAACTTTCAGCAATAATAATTAAATATAGAAAAATACTGAATTTTGTGTGAAAATGACACATTAGCAAACTACGGTTTTGTTTGGTAATGCAATTATAAAGTGTTTGCCAATTAGAATAGCATCAATTTAACAAAAATAGGTGAAAATATTGTGGGTTGACATGATAGTAGCCTACAATGCTTATTATTTAGTATAACTAGTAAATTGGTTATGGTTGTTAACTATCTTAAACAATATATACATAATTTAATAATATCTAAATTTTAAAATTAGTTTGTTAATAATTTAAATATTTTATATCCCTAATAAAAACAAATTTTAATATCTATTAGTTTTCTTTATCCCTAAAACCCAACATGATTTCGAGCTCTTTATCCAGTGGCGTTTCATTTTCAGTAAACAGCATTTATAGCTCTGTTTATCTCTAATGCTGTTAGTAGAAACACTATTATTGCTGAAAGTTTCAGAGAGCAAGATCAAGTTCAAAGCGTTACCTAGTGGGAGGAGAAAAGCTCAAACTGATGTTCTTTATGGAAATAACTTAATGTCAACGTGACATTATATACTATATAGTGCTATATAGCATTGTTTGCGGCTTAAAATTATTATTCTTGGTATTTATATACGTACAAGTAGGGTTATTATGAAACATTCTTCATTTTCACAGTTTACCGGATCTATCTTCGAAGGACGAAGCATGATATCAATTAATGCTTGATTTTGCAACACGCATAAGATTAGGTGTATAATAAAAATTATAATGGAAAAAGAGAAATTGACCAAGATATTATTAGAGTATCGTAAATTAAACATGTTTGTCATTAGATTCAAAGTAACGATAGGTTAGAGCTCTAATAAGATATAATATAGTGCAGAAAAAAGGAAAAAACTATTGTTAGAAAATCCTAATTAATTGGGTCAATAGGGCTTCTCATGAAAACACAATACCAAGTCTTATGTGCTATACTATATAACAACTTTTCAATATCCACGTGATTACATACAAACACAAAACAATCAATGCCGATATATATTCATTTATTAAAAAATTACTTCTTTAGCTGTTATCAGTAATTGAACCACTTGTCATGCATACACGATAAACATTGCGGCTTTGTGACGGAGATCCATAACTTGTGATAATTGTTCTCTCTCTACTGATTATTATACTTTATATAATAATAAAATCTTGCATGTATTCTCCAAGATACGCTAAAAAAAAAAAAAAATTCTCCAAGATACAGGTTTTTAAATATTTGTATAATTAACTACTATCTATGCCTGTTAATGTATATAATTAGATGCTGGACAAGAAAAAAAGTCTATATAAATAGAGAAATCACATGGCTTGTGGAGGGTCCTGACAGTGATTAATTATTATGCCATCCCTTAAGCAATCATAGCTTTGTTGAACCTTATTTTTGTTAGTTGTTGCCAAAATTATTGATTTTATTATCCACTTAGATACCTCTACTTTCTCATAAATTTTAATATACTCTTGTTTATTTGTCTCTATTTGCTCTAGACTTGTAAATATTCTTTCCTGGAATAAGTTCCATTTTCATCCTTATTTTACATTTTACCTGGAAAGTCTTTATAATATTCTATGCAAAAACCAAAATATTCACTTCACATAAATATAATAAAAAATTATGAAAAAAATAATTGAAGAAAGGCTGCCCATGTGGGCACTTCCAAATAAATCTCCAGAATCGATGCTTCAAATACATTGGATGTTTACTAAACAACACAGATATGAACAAACACACACCCACAAAGGAAAATCAGAAGACCCAATCTTAGTTATAAACACACAACTTCTCTCTTTTTAGAATCTACTTTTTAACTTTCTCTTTTTAACTTTTGCAATCTCTTGCCTGAAAACGAAATGGATCTTGTAAGTTCAAGTGAATCACTTATCGATGATCTTCTTGAAGAATACTGGTTCTTTGAGAACTTATTTACCAGGAGATCAAGAGTCTTAAGGTATTGTCACTCAGATCCCTACCCTTCTTCTTCTTCTTCTTCTTCTTTGACTTCTCCTGAAAAAATGAGAGACTCGGAGCCGAGGAAGATTCTAGACGCTTGCACGGGGAGGTGTTTGATCAGGGCTCCTTCTATAGATAGAAGAGAAGGCGGATCCGAGACGAAGCAGTTCTCTGAAAATATTGGAGTTCAAGAACCGAGACAAGTTGGGTCATTCTTGCAGAATAAGGAACATTTGACTCTTCCCAAATCCGGATCTCGTTCAGCTCCAGGGAAGATCCAAGAAGCTTCCACAGAGCGTTGTTTGATCCGGGCACCTTCTTTGCCGCCACGGATAGACAGAAGAGAAGTGGATTGCGAGGCGAAGAAGATGATCAATAAGCTGACGAGACAGTTCTCTGAGAAGATTAGGGTTCTAGAACCGACAAGACCTGGTGAGCGTTTCTTGCAGAAGAAGAAAACTGTGGTTCGAGAGAAAGGGAATAGTGAAAGGAACAGGACGGGAGGTAGTAGTGGTACTAGTGTCAAGATTAGTTTGCAGAGAACTCAGACGATGCCAAATAACATGAGAAGAGAAGAAGACGAATTTGAAGATCAAGAAAGCGATTCAAGAATGGGATTCTTGATCCGCGAAGCCCTCGCTAGTTCACAAAATGCTCCGAAGGTAAGATAGATGATTCACACTCTTTATGTAAAAAGAAAATGGTCTTGGAGGAATCTGAAAAGCATTGAATCTTGGTGCAGGTGTCAAGCAATCAAAGGCAGAGACCACCAAGAAACTTGAGATCAGAAGAAACTTTTATGGTCAAACAAGGAAGCTCAAGTCCCAAAACGCTGCGTAAAACGTTAAGCAGCATAGAAACAACAAAAGAGATTCAAAATCTGAAAGGTTCTGATGACCAATTGATCGAGCAACGTGTCATGTCCGGATTGGCTACACCGCCTAGGGTTCCTAAGGATTCGAGGAAAGAAATGAAGGACCAGATCAAGTTCTGGGCTCGAGCCGTAGCTAGTAATGTCCGACAAGAGTGCTGATGATTGTTTTTAATTACACTAATTAACTGTGTTTTTGTATGACACTACTCCGTACATATGATTCTTATCTTGAACTCCTTTGTGTCTTTTCTCTGATCCTCCTGAAATAATGATATCCTCTGTTTATGTGATGATGCTGTTCTTTCTTTTTTTTTGGCAAGAAGAAAGTCATGATTATGATGAAGAAAAGGGGTTGAGAGAAAAACAATAAGGAAGAAACATTACAATAATCATTTTATATTAAAACCAAAAGAAAGAACATAATAATTAGTGATTTGATTGCGATTTATGCAGACTTTCCTAGAACCATTCGAATTAAAATATTCCTTCTAATTCGATAACATTACACGTTAAATCCGTTGAATCATGATGTTAATATAAAAAGTAATAACTTGGAATTAAGTAGATTGAACCGGTTCTTGATTGCAGAGATCTCTCGTAAGACCAAAACAATAGTAATATATGCATTATTCAACGTCAATACTGTATTATTAATATATATTAGCCGAGCATCCTCTGAGATGATTACCAACTAATATTATTGTTCGTATAATCTTTGATAGTGTAACAGTTTGCATAAACAAAAAAATCGAGTAGAATGAAATTAACTGACCCCATAACATGTGACCGTTAATTACGGGTTATTGTTAGTTGCTACCTTCCAATAAACTTCATTACATTTTACTATTTTTGCGACCAAATCATCTTACAAAAAAGAGAAACACATTTAACTAACAGACAAATCTCACCAGACTTTACACTTTAACAGATGACAGAAAACAGTGGCATAGGTCAAATCCCCCAAGTAGGAAAATGAAGAAATTATGACTTTTTAAAAGCATATCAAAACGAAAAACTGAAAAAGTAGAAAAACAAATTTACAAACAAGTAGCGCCAATTGGTGTAAACAAACCAAAACAAGTAGGCACTTTTTAAAATTTTACAAATTTTCTATTCTTACCCTTTTTTTTTGTGGGTGCTAAAAACTATTCTTACTTACGCACATCTGATGCGAAGACCATGTTTTAGTACGTTCATAGTTAGATATATCACCCGAACATGATTACGATTAAGAAATATATATATATATAAATTAGAGTTTCTAATTTTCTCTCTAAAAAAAGTTTTAACACATCAAGCATACGTAATACGTTGATACTAAAATTTGCAGAGAGCATTCAAATATAGTCATAAATCATCTAGGTCAACATTTTAAATTATTATTGTTGTATCTTTTCAGACGTGACAAGTCTCTTTTTTCTTCTGCACAAACGTGACAACTTCGTTTCAGTGTATAACTTTTTGTTTGGCCATTATTATTTAAGCTTCTATTTTGCTTCAGTAGAATAAAAAGTGACTGTTCATTCAGATTTTGCGTTTTTTCAAAACCAGTTAGCGACTTTTCTCTTAAAATAAGATTATGTTAGGAGTATTGGTAATCAGAAACCATCACAACACCCATTTCTCAAATAAAAGCTTTATTCATCTATAAGAATCATAAATACAAGAGCCCCTAGGATACTTTATACAAAAAAAATTAAACCCGAAAAAGCCCATAATATATCGTCACTAGAGGCCCAACATTTCCCAGTCAGCCTTTAATAAACGATGTCGTTTAATTTTTTTGGTTTGCTTTGGGTAAACCGAAACACTACAGAATTCAATTGGGATTTTTATTTATGTTTTTGGTATTTTTCCTAAGAATATAGCAAAGTGATCTCGTTTGGACAAGATTTTCAGCGATGATGTTTCTTAATTTGCTCACATTTGGACGATTGTTTTGATCCAAGCATAGATTGAGATCATTCGTTATGTTATGTAATATTTGTTTGTTAGATAAATTTCTACTTTTTTTAATTTAAATCAATGTTACTATCATAAATACCATATATCTCATACACAATATTTTAGAAATAAGGTTTTATAAATTATAACCCACTAATTTTTACTAATTAATATATTGTTGACGTTTGCATTGGTCTTTGCCGCAGTAAAGCTTGTCATCAAACCAACAAGAAGCAATAAACACAATGTTGTTCTCATTTCTCACCATGTTGGCTTCTACCGGTTGACATGATTTGTATTTGTGTGGGATTTGCTACCACTTTTGTAGTCACATATAATATTAGGGAGCTCTTATGGGTAGTGATGTTCTGAATTCTATTTGTTTTAGTTATTTCTTTTGTGCACTCTCTGTTCTCATGAGAGTTAGTTTTTTAAAGGAAAGTAAAAGAAAAAAACTTTGTAATAAATTAACTATATAATTTGTTTGTTTTAAAATTATGTAATGACTATTGTGTAGAAAATGGTTTCTACATCATTGATTTAACTAAATATATGCATCATGATGGTTACATTTCATTTAATACTAGAAAAATTATTAAAAAAAAGTTTTGTAAATGTGTTAATTTTTCTAAATTTTTAATCCAAAACTAATTGTTAATTATTGGGTTGATTCAATTTCCTCCAACTCTCAATGTATAACAAATTTTACCTATACTATCTAAAGATTAAAGTCTTACGATCCCTTAATTTTTTACTAATCCCATTATAATCCACTTGGTTAGTATATACCTCGCTAAATTCAGTTCATAAAAAATAATAAATGGACTAAAATAGCATATTCTTTTGGGTTTAAGACATCCGAAAGAATCTGATTCAAGCTCTACTGTTGGAAGCAATGTATAACCACATGTACTTTTCACACAACAGATACGTGGTGTGGCTAGTACGTATATACGGTGTATAGCTACTTCTTCAAGTATAGTATCTCAAATTATTCTGCGAAGAAAGAAAAAATATATCAAATTATAATGATACTTTATAGAAAAAGTTTTGGTATGATACAAAATGACGATGATCTCGAGATATATTGTTGGCATTTCAATCAGGTACATTAAGAACGATGACATAGGTTTAAGTGTAGTATGTCGATTTCATTCTATTACTCCATATGCTTGACTAAATAAGTCAAACGTATATCTTAGCTCAAAGTACAAATTCTTTGGTCAAATAAATAACATATCCTCTCTCGGTTCGTTTAAAATTTTAGGTAATAACACTGAACAAACATAAATTCTTATATGTACTCAACTCTAGTCTGATAAGATGATATAATTATTCTAAGTGGCTGATTGTTTCCGCGTCTTAACTTTTGGAACATGATTTTTCATATGCTTTTTATGATATTAGTCAAGTTTTTCACGCTCATCATTAGTTTATGTGATGAGTTTGCAATAAACTACTTACTTGGTCAAACTATTATTAAGTTTAACTGTTTAAGTCTAGCTATTTCATTTTATATCGTTTAATGTTATGGTGGAATTCACTTCAAAAAAAAATGTTATGGTGGAAAATTCGAACTTTAGTTAAAAAAAACAAACAAATGTTCTAACGTTTAAACCTGTTGTTCCATAATTTTTCTAACATGTAGCCAATTCATCATTAATGTATTAGTCATATATAATATTCTTTTTCTAACAACATGCAATCCATAAGATTTGAATAAGAGTGCTGGCCTCGACGACAGTACAAATCACTATACATGTTAACAGAGCCGTGCCAAGACTCTTAAAAGTTGAGACAAAAATAAAAATATTTATTTCTTTATATATTTTTAAATAATAATATTAGTTTTATTTTCTTAAAAATTGTTAAAGTGTTATTTATAAAAATGAATAAAACTTATTGAAAAACAAATATTTACTTTAGTATGATGGTTAGTTTTTGAATTTAGGAGTGAAATTTTAAAAAAATAATTTTTAACCATATTTTAACTATTACATTATTATTAATTTTTATGAATTATGATATCAAAACTATTTATTATCTCTTAAGGTGAGGCAGATGCCTTTTTCCTAACAAGGTAGACACGGCCCTGCATGTTAATTATAGTTTTATTGATGTATAATATCAATCACCATTAATACTAGTATCTCCAACCCTACTATATTTTCAACTCCAAATGCTATTTTAGAGTAAAATATTCTTTAACCATATTCTATTTTTAACTCCAAAATGGAGAAAATTTAAATTCTACTCCATATTTGGAGTAGATCTAAACTCTACTCCATTTTGGAGTTAAACTTTTTTATTTACAAATTAATCCTTTAGATTTAAAATAATTATATTTTATATTATTTAATATTTATAAAAATATTATAAAACTGATAATTATGAATATTTAAACACTGAAATTATTCCTAAAAATTATAAAATATAATAAACTTTAAAATACATAATAAGTGCTAAAATTAAGAAAAACAATATAAATAAATTTAAGACAACAAATACTAAAAATATTAATGATAAATTTTTTAGTAATAGTAATGTTTAAATAAAAATTGCATATGCTTTTTGTGATGTTATTTAATTTTATTTGGTAAATATTTTAGTTATAGTTTTTGAAAGAAATTGTAAATAATAAAATAAGTGGAATTTATTTGTAAATTTTAAAACTAAAAAGTATTTATAATAAAATCGAATAAGAATCTATTTAGAATATTTCTTTTTAGAATAGAAAATGGAGAAATACATTGGAGCAAAACACAACTTCATTTTGGAGTTACTCTATTTTGAAGTAAAAAATGAAGAAAAACATTAGAGATGGTCTAATAAGTACTTAAATGGTGGAATGAAATCCAATTCGTATACTAATTGAAGCCAAAACCTTTTTTTCAAATACTCTTGGCTTCCCACAAAATTCTATTTCTGTATTACAAACAGACAATTTTAACAATTTTCCTCTGGTAATATATTCGAAGTTTATCCCATAAAAACACAATTTTAACGAAATGTTGCATTAAAGACAGTACATCTCTTTAAATCAGATAAATTACAGCGCATTTTGAGTTTTAGTTTCTTGGATAAGTTGTGGTTGTATAGTTTTAGATTCTTCACAATGTTGTGTAAGCCATTGTAAATTAATATTTGGGGTATAATTAGGCGTCAAGCTGGTTCAACAAAGAAAGCACATGGGGACACTTCCCCAAAGCTTGTGTTAAGAGAAAACCAAACAATTAATAACTTTGCTCAAAATCTATCTAATGCAGAAAACTAAAAATATTCAGAATATATTTCCTTTATAAACTTTTCTGACTTATACACGTCACCAGTAAAAGCTGTAATTCCCAATTTTGATGGGTAATTTAATTGTACAACAATATCATCTCAGTCTCGATCGTTTTATGAAAACAAGATCGTTCATAATTAAACTTGAGTAGCTAATAAATGAAATTTTACTTCATGGTTGGGGCATGCTTATAATAAAGCAATCAACTCTAATAAAGAATAAAAAAAAATAGATTGTGAGATTAATAAAAGTTTTGTAGTACTAATTAAAGTCAGTAATTAATCCCTACGACGTCGTTTAGGTCTATAATTAGGACACCTGTTTAACCTTTTTTTAATTAGAGCTAAAGAAAATGAAACTACAGTATATGCTGCAAAAATGAGAAACCAATAAAAATTAAACGAAGAAAAAAGAGAAACCAATGAAAAAAAAAAGGAAATTAAAGAGAAAAAAATGAGAGAGAAGAGAATAAAAAAGATAAATGCGAAAATAAAAACCTTCCGTCACCGTGATAAAAGAAATTAGAATCAAGAAACCGACGTCCCTCACCTCCTCTTTCTCTCTCCCTCACCTCCTCTTTCTCTCTTCTTCGGATCTCTCTCTCCCTGATTAAACCTCCATAATCAGGTAATTTATCTCTTTTAATCATCACGATAATCGGGTTCTGAACCTTTTTTTTTCTTCTTCTTAATTCCCCAGGGTTAAATTCATTATTTATTTGGTGGGGTTTTTTTAATTTTAATTTTGATTGATTGCTGTTATTATTGTTATCGTGAACTTTATCTGAAGAAATTGCATTGTTCTGGGTTAGTTGGTTTTATGATTATAATCTCTCTCTGATCATCTTTGCAGGGAGTTTCTCGGTTTTTGATTCTTCGAAATCACAAGTCTTTGTCTTCTCTAGCTCGTTGCAGGCAGCCCCATTGAAATCTCGAAGCTTTTTGTCTTCACAATCTTAATGTTCTCAAGGTCAGAGTTTTTTTTGTGTATCTCAGCTATTTGCATAAGACGATTGTTCTAATTTTAAGTTAGGTATGGTGGGCTAGTTTTCATTTCCTTTTTTTTTTGCTACTATATAAATTTTCTGATCTGTTTTTTTCTTTTTTTGGCATTTGAAGAATTGTTCTTAGCTTCTGTATTTGGTATTGTTCCTGCATCTTAATTATTGATTTAGGTTTTCGTGGAAATGATCTTGGCTTTAACCCTGTTACCATGAGTTTGAGAATGCACAATGCAATCAAAAGTGCCATTGATGTAATAGTTTGGTTTTTAGTATCAGCTTGAGATGTAATTAATGTTGCATTTGGTTGGTTCCTTGTGTGTATACTTTTGGCTGTGTCATCGTATAGTTGCTGATGTATTTTGTATGAATCAAAAACGTATCAGAGGGCTTATGCAGCAAGCGAAATGGGACAAAGAAATAGAACGGTCGACTTGGAAATGGAGCAGCAGCAATCTCAAGCCTCTCTCCAACAAGAGCCTTGCATCCTTTTAGGCAGCTTTCCTCAGCAACCAGATACTAACAACATCCCTGCCATGGTTTCAAGCTTTCCTAATTTAGAAGCTCATTCTCTTCAAGACCCAACTTACGACAACTCTGCGATGTTCTACGGTCTTCCTCAGTACCACCACCATCATCCTCTTCCTCATCAGCGTGCTCCGACGAACTTCTATGTTCCCTATGTGGCGTTTCAGGCTCCGCAGAGTCAGTTACCGTCTTCAAGCAGTCACGGTGTAGTTGGAGTGAGCTCTGATCACGAATACGAGAGGAATGCTCATTTTATGGATCACACAAGAGGTGCATACAAAAGAAAGAACGCCGAAGGAATACCTGTGAACCCTCAGTATTTAAGTACTTTAGCAGCTCCGTTCAATACACCTGAGGCAGTAGCTCCTTTTGGAGGCGCGAGGAGCAGACCAGGAGCTGTTACAATGAACCCTGTTCTACCTCCTCCTCCTCCTCCTCATGCTCCAAACAGTTTCATTCAAGGGAACTATGCTGGTCATCATCCTTTTCCACCTCCTGGCTCAATCTGGTATGATCAACACCATGGAAGATCTGATGGCTCACCTTCGTTTTGGCCACACACGCCTTATATGCACGGTATCTACCCATCACTACTCAGTCTCTAAAGTTCTGAACTTTTGTAAATCTTATCATCCTCTTTTGAATGATCTCTCAGGTAGTAATATTGTCGCTGGTTCCATAGAATCTAGTAGCAGAAACCCTACAACGTTCATGTATCCTACTCAATTAAACCCGAGGGACCACTATTATAGTCATCATCATCACCCGGCACCTCCTCCTGTTCAAGCAGTGAGAGGCCAGAGCGCCACATTATACCCTCACATGGCTTCTTCAGTCTCATACAGAGTTCCTCCTGGGAGCTTTGGTCCTCAGAACACAATGATTAGCGGTCCTTCGGGTGCAGAGATGGGTTCGAGTCACGTAGGTCCAGTTCAGCCAACCGGGTTTCGGATATACCAGCATCATCAGCGAGATGATTCTGTACCTTTAGCAACTCTTAGACAACACCGTGGAGTAGTTCCTCGGCTTAGAGTGATGCCTGATGATGTAATGTTCTTGTCTCATTTTTAATGTCCCCATCTTCTTCACTTTCGCAGTTGCTCAAGAGATTCTCTGGTTCTTTTGGCTCTCTCAATGTATGTAGGAAGTTGCAATATTGGAGTTTGGAGACTTCCTTGGCGGTTCTGGAAATAATCACGTTGATCATCATCGAGATATGCGATTGGACATCGAGGAAATGTCATACGAGGTGAGCCCACCATTACTCTTCACTGATGTAGTTTATAGAGTTAGGTGTTTAGCAGCTGAAAGTTGACGACCTGAGAAGATTTAGGCTTTAGCATGCTGAGCTTGAGAATCCACAATGCAAGTTGTCTGTGATCACGGTTTGGTTTTTGTTGATCTGATTTGAAAACCCGGTGGTTGAAAACAGGAGCTTCTTGCGTTGAGCGAGAGAATCGGAACCGTAAACACTGGTTTGCCAGAGGAAGATGTTAAGAATCATCTGAAAACAAGAACGTGTTCTGGAATCAACCTTGATGAAGAGTCGTCGTCGTCCCCACAAACTAAAGACAGAGAAACTGAACCGTGCACGATATGTCAGGTAAAAATATCGGAAGATCATAGCTGCTTTGTTTGTATATGGCTGCACAGGTTTGAATTCAGAGCTGTAAAGAAATCTCTAAATTTGTTATAACAGGAAAGCTTCAAGATCAGAGAAAAGATTGCGACTTTGGATTGCGGGCACGAGTATCATGCGGAATGCTTGGAGAAATGGCTGATTGTGAAGAACGTTTGCCCAATCTGTAAATCAGAGGCACTGGTCATGGAGAAGAGAAAGGTATAATAGGAAGAAGAATGGCTTTTTTTAATCTATTGGGTTTATATATATTTATATAAAAAAGGAAACTTAGAAAGAAGAGAGGAAAACAGAGTTTGGGTTTGTTTTCAGCTCCTTAAAAAGAATTCTGTAAATTTGTACTTTTTTGTTTGTGCACATAATATGTGTGAATGGTCAAAAACTGTCATCTTTTTAATTTGGTTTCTTGGCTACTTGACAATGAAAAAAACTGTACAGGCTAATTTGGTTTTTTTTTTTAATACTCTCTTCATTTTTTTCAATTGCTTAGGCTACAATTCATATCTTATTACTGTTCTAAGTTTCAAAATTGTGAAAAACCGAACCACATCAAATCAAATTTACCGACAAAAGTAACAAATCTAACCACATTTTTAAAAGCAGAAACTTACAGATATAAATTAAAATCTGTGTGAACACCATATTTTGTTTATTCATGTATCTTACAGAACCTCAAATTTAGTAGGTCCGTATAAATGTTACATCAAAATAAATCTTCAAACAAGAAACAAAAACTGATTACAGCCAAACTTTAGTGAAAACTAAAAATGGGTTTATCTACAGTGTAAACTTATTCTAAACTGTAAATCCTGTTCCATTTCTGTCTCTGTCCTCGCAAAAAGTTGTATAATTCTAAACTGTTGCTATCATTCTTCAAAAAATCTATGTTGTTACTATGATTCTCAAGCAGACCGTACACTTTTGTTACATAACCAAACTCTGGTCCGTAGATATGACTTGCACATGCCGCTTTGTAACTCACCAATCTCATCATCTCCATATCTCCTGTCAAGATACAGAAATAACTTACAATAAGATACAAAAACACAAAGACTGAATCTGAAGAGAGGGTTAGAATTTCTGTTGTATATATAAGACATACCGTTTTGTGTTCCTGCCTTGAGCTTTTTTATGTCTGTCTCGAGCATCTCCGGGGAGAAATGTCGGTTTAGCCACGACTTAGCCCGCAGGATCCATGATGTATCGGTGAACATTTTAGGATTCGGGTTGTATCGAACAGAGTAGGTTTGTTGAATCCTTTCTTCTCCAGAGCCGTCGAGGCATATCGACATTCGGTCTTCATCAATATCCTCAAAGAAGAGACGCAAGCAAGAGGCAAACTCTTTCCAGATTTCGGGCTCTGGAAAAGAAGCTTCTACATGCAATGCTATCATTTCGATCAGCGACTCTCTACTATACACATCTGCAAGAAAGTTAACACAAACGGGGTTAGAGACGACTTAAGGCAGGATTCAAGATCTTAAAGACTTAAAAAGGTGTTTGTTTCATGGCTTGATCCTAACTAAACTACCTTCTATGCACATTCCAATAAGCTTCTTCAGGGTAGTTACACAATTAGGATCAATCTTTAAGATGTCTTCGTAGCATTTTGCGAGCATGTCGCTCTTACGCTGAAACTTCTCCATCATAGCGGCCTTAATCCTACAATTGAACAAAAAACAACGAAAACTCCACTTCAGAAATTCATATGTTTCTATATTCTAACTTCCCGAGGCAGACATAGAGAGAGAGAGAGAGAGAGAGAGAGAGAGAGAGAGAGAGAGAGAGAGAGAGAGAGAGAGAGAGAGAGAGAGAGAGAGAGAGAGAGAGAGAGAGATCTTTTAGTACCTCAAAGGTTTGATGTCATGTACTTTATTGCACATCTCCTCGACCACTTTCATCGCCTCATCTACATGACCTCCAATTAACAGAAGCTGAAAGGGAATTTTAATCAGTGTGAGACAGTAAAGCTTGAAGGGAGGAACATAATGACATTATGAGTCACATACGCAGCAACAATGGTTATATCAGTTATTACCTGTACAAGTGGATGTAATGCAGCTAAAGATACATGACGAGGAGACTGCATAGTAAGCCGCAAATATCTCACTGATTCCTTATAGTAAAAATCATTGACCATCTTTCTATAACAATCAGGATCTTTTGGCGGTGACAAAGGAAGCAACCATGGATCCATGTCCCCTAACAAAAACAAAAAAGAAAAACCGAAGAAGCAATGAAATCAACACAACTGGTTGTGTGTTATATAACATAATGCGAGATAAAAGACAAATTCGAAAGTACTAACCAAGGATTTCAATAAGAGCGGGATCAAATGCAACTCCGTCTTTCAAAGAGTCTTCGTTTTCTTCAGAGGTGGCGTAGAATCGTGGCTGGTCGATAAACTGCTGAGTACTCTCCTCCAGTTTGATCTTCTCCAGCTTCACCTTCATATCCATCACTGTCGCTGAGTCACAGTTTGACATATGTGAAGTCCTTTTATAATTCATGACCGAAGACGATGACTCGTTCACAACAGAACCTTCGGACTCGGACTCCACAGAGTAAAACGTCTTGTCCCTGACTGAACACTTAACCGTAACACTATTAGACCTTGATTCCGACATACTGGATATGCTCTCGCTGCAGTCTCCGTCTTCAGGGTGTAACTCCACCTGGAATTTACGACACCACAGTCTGAACAACGTGATCCCTATATACAGATTAGCCCGTGGAAGCATCCCCAAATCACGGCTCTGCATCATGCTACCAAAAAGAAAACATACAAACAATCAATATACGTATCAATAGCAAGCTATTATAGAAATCTTGACACAGCATTGAAAGGGGTAGCTCAAGAAGACATCAACTGTACCTGGTTGTAGCATCATAGGCCTCACGATCCATCCCATGCTCGATAAAATGGCAAATCTGTTTGAACCAAACCAAGAGCCTCTCCTGTTCCAAATTACCAGGTAAACTCAAAATGGTTAGTCTCGAAGCCTTAGAACAGTATTCAATCACAGAGAACTAAAAGACAGAAAATGCTAAATGCTATATTGTCCTGCAGATGTAATTAGCTCAGCAAAATCAAAAGTTACAAATCTAAAAAAAGGGACCTCTTTATGCTGTTTACCAATCTTCCCGATCCAAGTATCATAGATTCTCCCAATCTCGTCGGCTTTGTTCTTGTAAGGTTGCAAGTGACTCACAATCTGTATATGAGCCTGCGAAAACACACACAAACCAGAGAAGGAACATTAAGAAACAAAGCAAGAAAGCACAATTTGATATTTTGGATGTTGAAAAAGCAAACCTCGTATTTGAGCCGATTCATCGCCGGAGAACCATCTCTCATCGTACCTTGCATCAGAACGCTGAGCACACTGCTCGCGTCTCTCCAGTTTCTTTGGCGGAGCAGCTCGAGGAGGATCTTGGGCAACTTTTTGAGATACTCGCTTCGGCTAGTTCTTCGCCCAAGGATACCCAGGAGGTAAGACGGTTTCGCGACGCAGAGGAGGGTTCTCTTGAACTTCCTGTCTACGTCTTCGACGGAGCTAATCACGCGACGGTGCTTATCAGGTTCGGTGTCCTCAAACATCTCAGTTTTCACTTCGATTTTCACCATTGCCTTATTTCACAATGTAGTTCAGCAAGAAGGGTTTCGATTGGGACTCTGTCGAATCGAGTTTCAGACGACGGTGATATCGCCGGCGATAGGAAACTCTCCGGCATCAAGCGATTCCCGCGATATGTGTGAGTTATATATATAACAGAATCTGCAAGATGATAAACCCTAAGATTAAACGAAGTCACATATTAAAAGTTGCATACGTAATTGGGCCAATAAAGTGGGCTTTTATGCAAGTGAAGTCAAATATATATTAGAGCCGATTAAGTGAAGCCCACCAACTAAATCATAAACTTAAGCTAAGTAATGAGATTAACCAAAAATAAAGAACCAAACCCGAATCAGTTTCGGTTTAACTTCTGACCAGTTCGTTATGCAAACCAACAAAGGTTTCTCCCATACGTAGCTTTCCGGAAATAGAAATCAACAAAATTATTACAGCCATACCTATGATTTGGATTGATTTTTTTTACTACGATGTCGGCAAATGTTGACCAATTTATTTTATACTCCCTTAAGACTGGCTTGACATTACACGTGTGGCCGCGTAATCTAATTTGGTAATACTAATGACTAACGAGTAACGAATGATTCTAAGCTAACTATACAGTTCCCGAATTGCCCCTACCTACTTTTTGCGTTTACAGCCCGTGGCAGCATTAATATTTTTTAAATCGACCCCAAAAGTTTTTCAAGTTGGTTTAACGGTCAAAAAAAATTTAGTTCTTTTATTTTTCATATATATTTTAAAACTTAGAACAGACATAATCCATGGTTCATATAAAAAACACTTCATACTGTATGCAGTTAACTTATATTTCAATCTAATTTTTTTTTAACTCAAAACAACGACTTTAGATCATAGCAAAATGACAAAAATTAGAAAAAATATATCACAATAAGCGAAATTGTTATATTTTGCATTGAATATGAAAAATGATAATAACATTATTTTTAATATCTTATGTCATATATAAATAAATTTTAAGATTCTTTAAAATGTAGATATGTTTACCTACTTACTTATTATAAATTCGGCTGAATTTTTTTATTAATTTATTTTGAATATTTAAATTTGGCGGAATTGATGATAATCTCTGATATCACATTTTGAGGTCATATATTATTTTCTTAGATTTGAAACTTTTATATTTCAAATATCGAAATGTTGACAAAAAAAAATTCAATATCAAAATAAATGCCGAAAATAAAATAAAGAAACAAATAAATGCTGAACAATTCATTGTTGAATTTGTGGAAGGCCGCCATTAATGCAGGGAACTAGTAGTAGTATAGTAGCCAAGACACTTTCCTTTTGTCAATAAATACTTTGTCATCTTTTACTTTTTGTGGTGGACAAATTTTATTAATTATGTAATTATCAACATCCTACTATTATTATTAAAAAGCATCTTTGTTTTTCCTAATTTCTTTATATAGAAGGAAATCCCGAATTTTGGTGTTTTTTAATACGTATATAAAACCAAACGATAGGGTTAAAATGGTGAAAACACACTCATTTCTTCCTCTTGATCTTCATGTTCATCACTCGTCAGCTTCTTCTCCGGTTAATCAAATCGCCATCTTCCCCCAAAAAAAACTGCCCCACACGATTTATACACACATAAGACACAACTTTATTATCTGTCGATAAAAAGTCTAATTACATATATATATAGCTGTATACGTGTATATATACTCATCCACAATTCTTTAACTGATTTCTCTCCATGGACACAGTCCTTTGATTTTCCTCAGTTTAAGTTTTTTTTTTTTCTTGTTTACTTTCAAATCAATCAATCATGAGATTCAGATCTCTCATCTCTCTCATCTTCCTTCTCTTCTTCACTTCATCGGCGTACGCTCGATTCGTCGCTGTACATCCATCTTCGACTGATCTTATCTCCGATGGAATCGACGGTGGAAACATCGGCCGCTCCGGATCGATTATCCAGACCGTTGTTTCAGCTCCTCCGGCTGAAGAGAAAGAGGAAGCTTGTGAACAGACCTATGGATTTATGCCGTGCACTAAGACGGCGCTCGGAAACGTGTTCCTGATTCTGGTTTACGGGTTTCTTATGTTCACGGCGGCGACGTATCTCTCTGCCGGAAGTGAGCTTCTTCTCGAGATCCTTGGCCCTGGAATCGTCGGCGGTTTGTTTCTTCCGATGCTCGGAGCACTTCCTGACGCTATGCTTATTATGGGTAGGTGAAATGATTCTTCTTTTTTTTTTTTCTTTGAAATTTGAAAATTTCGAGATTCCCCATGCTTCGATCTATATGAGTTATGGAGAAAAGGAGATTTGAAATTGAAAATTCATTTGTTGTTACTGTTTGTAGTTTGAGAAACCAAAAAGTGAATCTTTGTTATGTTCTGTGAATCAAAAAAGTGAAACGATGATGATACTCTGATGTGAACCGATGAACTCACAACTTGTCACCTTCTGCTTTTTAGTCAAAAACTTATCTTTGCTTTTCTTCTTTCTTTCTTGATGGATCATCTTAAATCCTTATTATTGTGTTGGTGCTTTCTCTCAGTGTCTGGACTTTCTGGAGACGCGGAAACTGCTCAAAGCCAAGTCTCTGTTGGAATGGGTTTGCTCGCTGGCTCCACCGTTATGCTTCTCACTGTGATCTGGGGAACTTGCACTGTCGTTGGCAAGTGTGACCTTCGTGATACAATTGCTGTGAACAACCAAGACACTAAACGCTTCAGTCTCAAAGGTAACCAGAAACTGTCTTATGAAATGATGGATTCTTCATTTTGTCTGCAAAATTGTCTTACTGTGTGTGTTTGCTTCTGTGATTGTAGATTCCGGTGTGACTGTTGATGTTTGGACCAGCTATGCTGCAAGAATAATGGCTATATCGGTTATCCCGTTCGTCATTGTCCAGCTTCCACAGATGTTGGACTCAACTTCTGGAAGACATTTGGCCGTGTTGGTTGCTCTAATCCTCTCGGTTGTAATGTTGATCTCTTACTGTGTATATCAGGTAAAACATCAGATTCTTATGCTTATAAGTTCTGGAAAGTATCCACTATACTATACTGGTGTGTTTCTTTTGCTTTCTTTATAATGAGTTTGTTCTTCCTTGGATGATGGTATGTCTAGGTTTTCCAACCGTGGATCCAAAGGAGACGTCTCGCTTTTGCGAAGCACAAGCATGTTATATCAGGAATCTTAAAGCACTTGAAACAGCATGCTTTGGGAAGGCTTCTTGATGATGAAGGTCAGCCTGATGAACATGTCATTCGAAGGTAAGTCCTGGAGAGAGCACAGTTTTTTTTTTTTGTAGGCAGTTTTACTCGGTTTCTCCTTTTTGCTCATGTTTTCATCTGTTTGTTAGGTTGTTTGACACGATTGATGCAAACAAGGACGGACACTTGTCAGCGGCTGAATTAAAGGCGCTTATCATTGGGATCAGCTTTGAGGATATCGATTTTGACAAGGATGATGCTGTGGGAAAAGTTCTCCAAGATTTCGACAAGACTCTTGATGAGCAGGTTGATCAAGAAGAGTTTGTCCGTGGAATTAAGCAGTGGCTTCTCCAGGCAATGGGAGCTGCTGGTCCATCTGGTCCTGATGCGGGTCCTCGAACAATGAAATTCCTTGACCATTTCCATGTGGTAAGAGAAGAGAGAGAACTCTTGAAACCATATTTGATCACACTTGGGTCACAAAACTTGTCTAAACCAGTGACGTTACTTATATTGTTTGTTGCAGCAAACAAAGAGAGAGCATGCTCTGTTGGGAGATAATGAAAATGGTGAGAATGATGAGGATTCAGGGGAGGTTGCAGACCCTAAATGGATCACCATTAAAGCAGCTCTGCTGCTACTGTTGGGAGCTGCCATTGCAGCTGCATTTGCTGATCCTTTGGTCGACACAGTTAACAACTTCTCCGCAGCCACAGGGATCCCATCTTTCTTCATTTCCTTCATTGCTTTGCCTTTAGCCACCAATTCAAGTGAAGCCGTCTCTGCCATCATCTTCGCCTCCCGGAAAAAGATCAGAACCGCCTCCTTGACTTTCTCCGAGGTCTGTTTATTCAATGAACAAAGGAACCATTTTTCTGTCTCATTATACTTTTACGAAAACCGTTTCTCGTTGTTTGTTTTTGTTTGATAGCTATGTGGTGGAGTGACAATGAACAACATTCTGTGTCTCTCGGTGTTCTTAGCAATCGTCTACGTTCGAGGACTAACATGGAACTTCTCATCAGAAGTGTTGGTGATTCTGATCGTTTGTCTCGTGATGGGCGGTTTCGCTAGCTTCCGCACGACCTATCCTCTCTGGACATGTTTCATAGCTTACCTGCTTTACCCACTCTCCTTGGGTCTGGTCTATATTCTTGATTACTGGTTTGGCTGGTCGTAGAGTGATCTCTTCGTTTCAAAGGTTTCTTCACATGACTGAGTTTGTTCTTGCGAGTGTTTCGCTTTCTTTTCTCTCTCCCTCTCTCTTTATGTTGTGGATTCGAGGGTGTAAACCAAAGTTAAATTTCTGAGTAATGATGTGTTTGAAACACTGTTATTAAAGCTAAATATTATTATTATCTTTCATATTTCTTCCGCAAATATTATCATTCTCCCGCCCCTTTATGGTCGTTCTTCTACTCTATAGATGTTACGATTCTACTGTTGCAAAAGAAAGTAGCGAGACCATTCACCTGTAATCCCATTCAGGAATAGTTCACAAACAAACAAAAAAAAAAAAAAGATGAAACCAAGTTATAATTGGCTGTTTCTGTATAAATCTGAAATGTCTCTTTGCTGTGTTCTCCCTCTCCTAAATACCAAAGCATGGTCACATCTACAACTACACTGACTACTTTGGTTCATACTGTATTAACGTAGGAAGTTATCGTCAGGGTCCCGTAGCTCAGTTGGTTAGAGCGTTGGTCTTATGAGCCGAAGGTCGCGGGTTCGAGCCCCGCCGGGACCAATTGACGTCAGAATTTATTTTAAAAATTTTAATTTTTTAGACCCAATTATTCCTCATCAAAAGTTGAAACTTCAAGGATCAAAGTAGTATATCCATTGAAGAAAGAGTGACAGTAATTAGCAAGATTGTCTTTGATAAATCCTCAATTAGCATGGAATGGAATGAAGAAAAAGAAAAAGAAAAAGAAACAGCTGTAACCTTGAGATCTGACAAGAGAAAAAGAGGGGACCATTCTCTAAAGCTGACAACCTTTTTCCCCATTTTGGTTCCATCCTTTTCTTACACTTTGATATCCTTTTTTTCATAATTGAGTTCATGTCTTTCTTCAACATACTCCTTCCTTTTACTATGTTACAAAAATATAACAACCCTCAAAAGTAATGGTTTTTTTCACTAGACTAATCAATCTTTCACATAACCAGATTCGTCATGATCTACATATATTTGCGTCTATATCAATCATATGCATTTGAACAAAAGGACCAAAAGGAAGAGAACCAAAAAAAAGAAAGTAAGAAGCTAGATATTTTAAAAATTTAGAATTGATGACTTTTAGTCACTAAGCCTGTGATAATGATTCAGGCTTTCTATCTTTTTCTTTTGCTGCAATTTACTTTAGGATGTCTTAGCCACTACCTCATCTTATCACATTCACATGTTAAGTGTTGCTTCTTTATATTGCTTCTTCATAATAACATAATAACCTCCATAAGAAAGTTTTCAAAGTCTTCCAAAAGATAATTAGTTTAACTAGCTCCCTATGGACAGATTATGGATTGAAATCTCATAACCCCTACACTATTATTGACCTGAAAAGAAAGTGACTTGCTCTTTTTTTCAACTTTCCTTCATGTAGACCAACATGGGTGTCTTCATGTACTAATCTCATGTCCCATTCTTTTTACTTATTAAAGACTTTTATATCACACTCAAGTTTGGTGGATCTCCTACACACTTCTTAAAGTGTATGTGCTAAAAGAAGACACATTATTGACACTTGACATCAATTTCTCTTTTGCTCTTTTTTTCATTAAATGTTTACTTCAACTAAAGCCAGCCATAACAAAAAGAGGAAATTTAAAAACAAAATTCTCAGTTTATTTTTTTATCTGTATGTACATAGACCAAAACCCATACTTCTAGTATTCGGAATTTGCAACCAACTAATTATTATTAAGAAATGACCAAATGGAATGTTTGTTCTTTATTTTTGTACAAACTACAAACCCATAATTCTTAATCCTACATTCCAAAAAAAAAAAAAAACACATGCAAACTCTGTCCATGGAAAAGGACTCTTCATCAATGGGGCCAAAAGAAGAGGTTAAGAAACACAAAAAGCAATGATTGTTCCAAATTCCATTTGCCACTCAGAAGAAATGTTTATAACTATAGAGAGATTGGAAAATGATAAATCTAAAATAAACCCAAATCTAGACCACAAATGTGTCTAACAACAGGATGTAGATTGATAGAACACTGTTCCTCTTTGGGTTTGGCAAAAAAGAAGAAGAAGAAGAAGATATTTCTTGAGAAAAGCATGAAACCCACATCCACATGGGAATAAAGGGGGCAAAGCAAGAGACTTTAGCTTCAAGTGGGGTTAAAGGTTTCCTCCAACACAAGAGCATAAAGAGAATAACAAACAATTTTATTTAATACAACCACAACAACAAATATGCTTGAGAATCAGGATATACAAGTACAACAAGCAAGATGTGATCGAGCTCGCATGACTAGAACATAACTGAGTTTACATCAAAGTTGTCTAATTGATACAAAATGAATTCAAATTGGCAAAGGCTCGGACTTTAGAGGAAGAACCTGTAACAGTTGAATCACATTTGTGTCGATATCCAAAACACAACAACGAGTACACATTCATTGTTCCACGAATCGACCTGAAACGTTAACCAAAAAAAAAATGCAAGCTATCAAATTGATGAATGTTAACATTGTAAAAGGACAACACTTTCCAGAGATTGGCATTTTCAAAGGATTGAACCTCGAATACGAAAAGAAACCATTTGTGTTGCATACTCGGTTTGTTCTTTTCTGTGCTTTTTTTTTTTGAATCTTGTTTTAATGGCGAGAATCAGATGAAGCAGACGACGGTTTGTCGCTGTGGTCATCTTGTTCGCCCTGAAACCGTGCTGGTATACGAAAACCGGAGAATTCAGCACTTGAAGCAAACGCAATGCCTGGAATCGCTGATTGGTGAATCGCCGGAGGAACATGGTAAGGATGGTGATGGTGATGGTGATGGAGATCGTCGGTAGTAATGGACTGATGCTGATGGTGAGGATCAAACCAAGCACGAATCATGGGTGTGTTAATGGACTGAAGGGGACCCCTCTGAGAAAAAAGCTGACTTTGGCCAAAAACCGGCGTTGTCGCCGGAGAAGCAAATACAAATCCTCCTCCGGTTGCGGCGGAGGGATCAGCTGCTCCGCCGTTGTTCCACGTCACGAGTCTCTGCATCCTTCCGAATTCCGGTGACTGGTGATGATTCTGTTGCGACTGGTCCCAGCTCGTATTAGACTGGTCCCAGCTCGGATTGCTCTGGCCGGAGAACAGAGCATGCTCTGTTTGATTAGCAAAAGGCGGACCATTTTGGAAAGATTGAAGTGAGAGACGAAGATCTTGGTTTTGTGAATTGGCTCGTGAAGGAAAATCCGACGGTGGCTGATGATAGTTCTGTTGAATAGCTTCCGTTGAAACGACCGGGAAAAACGACTTTATAGTGTCAGCTATCGAATCAGAGTCCATCGACGCCGGAAGAAAACTCGATTGATGATGATGATGATGATGATGATGAGGATGCTCTGTTTCTTCTCCGGACGCTCGGGTTGATACAGAAGCACCGCGAATTCCGGTCTCCGTCGGAGAAACTGCGGTTTTGGATCTCCTGGGTTTAGCGTTTGCCGCCGCCTGACGGATTGTATCGGCGGGATTCCAAGGAGGAAGCTCGGCGAGGTTGTCAATGGCGGATTTAGCTTTTTTGATGAGCCAATCGACGGCTTTGCTTGGTCGATCGAAGCCGAGTCTATCTTGAACGTCGTAGAACTGAATCGCCGTCGGGGCGGAGAGCCTCACGCGCCGGTCACGTGGTCCTTTGGCCGTACAGACTTTGCTGTGTCGGTCTTTTCTTCCTGTTGACCGGACAATGTGGCCTCCTTGAACCTCCACGATCTCGCCGCAACCACCGTTCTCCGCCGCCGAAAACGTCGACTGGTGTCTCATCGCGAGAAGAGGCGGCGACGGCGAATCTATTAAATGGTGGTTGGATTCTTCATCCGCCATTGTTGGAGCATACTGAGGGAATCCAATGTCCTCGTCGTCGTCGTCTTCGTTGGTGGTGGTTTGGTGACGGAGGCGGCAGCGACGGCGGTCGTTAGCCGCCGAGGGATCCAGAGTCACTAGTTTCAGTTCAATGCATCTAACTCCCGCATATCGCCTCTCCCTCTTCCCGAAACCTAACCTAAATCAGCTACCAATTCAATAATAATACTTTAGAGACGAGGAAGATGAAGAAGAAGACGTTATGGAAATTTGAAGCTAACCCATAATCTCAATTTCTCTTCTTTCGTTCTCTTTTATATGATAAAAAAAACTTGTCTCTGTTTCTGGAAACTGAAGAAGCAGACCAAGCAAGCGAAAGAGTGAAGATAGAAAGAAAGAGAAAGAGATGTGGAATTGATTTAGTAGAAGAAGAGAAGAAAAGTAATTTTAAATTTTCTCGTGAAAATTTTACAGCGGCAGTGAAAGAGAAGGGCAGTGGTAACTGGAAAAGGAAGAGAGTGTCTGGTAATAAAAAACTTCTCTGTGATCTCATCACTGCGCTTTTGTGTTTTTATTTCACTTTCTGTAATAACATTTTGCAACTTTTTCTCAACTAAATCGTGTTGCAATTTTGATGAATTACATGAACTCGTAATGCATAAATTACAAAAACAACTACAAGATAAAGTTTTCACTAAACAAATAAAACTTTATTGTCTTGTATATATTTCAATTTTGTTTGACATCATTTTGATAATATATACTCGCTAAAAAGTAAAAACCCGTATTCATACGAACCTATTTGATAATGTACTTGAGGGCTATATTCATGAAATAATGATACCCTTTAGTGGAAACCCGTTCTTCGATCGCATGATGTGTGTCAGTAAGTACACTCCCCGTCACCTTCAATGTCATTCTCTTTCTCTTTGTTATTTTGTTCATATTTTTTAGTTTCATTTGTTTTTCTCAACTTATTATTTTACGTTTCAAATTGTTTAAAATGACAAGTTATAACAGAGCCCACACCTTCGTCCATTCCCTGTCAAAATGACCAGTTTGTCTTGGCCTCTTGGAGTTATTATTTGTCATTTTCAGAGAAATCAGTAATCACACAAAAAAAAAAATTGCTTTTATTTGTGTGTCAGTCTGTTTATATCAATGTTATAAAAGTATGATCGTTGAACATGTGGAATGTTGCCGTTTTTTACCTTGAGGTTTCGGGTCGCTTTTCGGGTCAATACGCGGGTTAAGCTGTCGAGCCGGGTCAAGCGATTTAAAAAACCGGTAATGGGCTAAACATTGATTTATTGGTACAAGATTATATGTGGGCCTCTGTGATAAAACTTGACAAACAGACCACTCCAAAACCAAATTTATATCGGATTCTCAAACCGAGATATACTAAAACTCTTAGTAACAATCAAATTTTATTTTTTGGTTGACAATTTTTTTTTTACGTCTACAAATTCAATCGAGATAAAGATACATAATCTTATTGGTTTGTGAAAGTATCATCGTTGTGTTATTACCCAAATTCAAACCCGCAAAATACATTGTTTGAAAACAATGAAGGACGAGAATTCAACTCGAACCGGAAAATTGGAAAAAACAACCGAGTCAAAATCGGTTTACTCATTGGTTGGCAAACTTAACTCCCTTCTCGATGGAAGACTTGAGTTCTGGCTTCAATGCTTCCAAGCCTTCCTTCTCAAAGTCTGAGAGTGGCCCCAAATCAAGAACTTCCTCCACGCCGTTCTTCCCCAACCTCACCTGAAGAAATCATCAAAACCATCACATTCATCAACTGAGCCAATGAGATCGAAGGATGCACATTCTGTGGTTTGATTGATACTAAGTTTTTGAGGATTACCTTTGATGCAAAGAAAGGAAGCTCAGTGATTGTGGATTGCACGTATGAGCATTCTACTACATCTGGAACACCGTTGAGTCCTTTCAAGCATGCATCAGCGAATAGTGCTCCGGCATAGCTGCGACAATCATCAGATAACAGAAGTTGATAAGAATCAAGACTAAGATTCACGAAAAGCGAGAACAATTACGAAAAGGCCAGCACAGTACTTACGCCATTGACAATGTAGCTGAACCTTTTCCTGCTTTTGCCTCCACGACTTCTGTACCTCCATCTTGGGTACGCTTGGTGAGGGCAGTGAGTACATCACTCGACAAGTTGGCTTGAGGAGTAGCCTACATGTTTACAAAACAAAGTTACTTGAGTGGAACAGAGCTAAACTAGCAGTAGTAACAAGTAAGACATTCAACCACAGTATGAGAGAAACTAATATGTTACCTGAGAGAAGAGCGGGAGAATTGTAACACCAGCATGACCACCAATCACGGGAACATTAACTTCTGCACAGACACAACAAGCATTCAAATTAAAGCCTCAGGCTTTGTCATCCGGAGAAGACAAATATAGTGCTACAATGTCAGATAACATCCATGAACACAGAGAAAAAAAAACACATTTTCAAGAAAAGACGTCAAAACAAACCTGCAACAGAGACATTTGCCTTTCCAGCATAGAAAGTCCTGGCCCTAACGACGTCGAGAGTGGTTACACCAAACAGTTTCTTCTCATCGTACATACCAGCCTTCTTGAAAATCTCTGCAGCAATCGGAACAGTAGAGTTCACAGGGTTGCTGATCATGTTAATAAGTGCCTGTTTCAACAAAAAGAGTAACGCTCCAAATTTAGTGCCACAAAAACGAGACTTTTGAAACATAGGAAAACCAACAATTTACACTCTTTGAAACACTGATTCGCATCTAATAGTAACACCAAGACTGATGTGCATTGTTGTAAAAAGAGGTGACTGGAACGAGATGGTAGGCTTACATGTGGGCAGTACTTGGCGATGGCGGTGCAGAGGTTCTTCACGATTCCAGCATTGATGTTGAAAAGGTCGTCACGGGTCATACCAGGCTTCCTCGGTACACCAGCTGGAATGATAACGAGGTCAGCTCCTTCAAGAGCTTTGGCCAAGTTTTCATCTCCCATGTATCCAACAACCTATAGAAGAGAAGTGAATCGCCTTTATAAGTAAGATATCTCAACGAAATGAGCACTGAAGTATTATTGAATCTAAGCCAAGATAAATCTAAGGGAAGCGAGAGACTCCAAGTCTAGCAATTGAAGTCAGAAGGGATCAAAGGGATCGTGTGTACCTCAGATCTGGTGTTGATGTGGCCGACATCAGCGGCAACTCCGGGTGTGTTGGCGATATCGTAGAGGGAGAGGCTAGAGACGAGAGGGTTGAGCTTCATGAGGAGAGCAAGAGGCTGACCGATTCCACCGGCGGCGCCAAGGATGGCGACTTTGCGCTCGGGGACGGACTCGGAAGAGAAGCCGCGGCGGAGAAGCGACTGCTTCGCCGAGGAAGAAGAACGGACGAGCATAGATCTGAACATTTTGGGAAGAAATTTAGGGTTCCTTCTCGAGAGGAATCAATCAGGAGGGGAGAGAGAAGCAAATCTAGGAGAAGATGCTTTTTAGTTTTTAAGTTTATGTGGTGAAGCAGTGGCGAGACACTCGAGGATAGTCGATGAGATATCTATGACTTCTTTACTTTAATGCTTCCAGCTCTTTTTCGGTTTTTTTTTTTCAAAATTTTTGTTTAATTGTTCTTTTTTTTTTTGAGATAAATTTTGGTTTATAAGGAAAAATATCTTTTTTTTAAATGGATATTGAAATTTCAATATTGTGGGAATATGAATCTTTTTTTTTAAATGGATATTGAAATTTCAATATTGTGGGAATATGACTTTTTTTTCAAATTAGAAATTTCTTTGCCATTGTGTTCAAACCGCAAAATTCATAATATTCGATCATAAATCTAAGATATGAGATTATTACTGGCTAATATTATTCTTTTATGATTTTAAATGTTTAAAAACTAGTTACAAAGATTTAAATTTTAGTTTTATGGTTATGAAAAACTTTTTCGTTTAAAATCGCAAGGTACTTGATTAAACACATCCTCTTTAGTGTGTGGCTATATTATATACTATTAGCATTTGAATATCGATTATTAACGTACAAAATGTAACGATACACATCTTAATATAACGATAAAGAAGTGGTGATTTCACCATCGTTTCTTCTCATATTGCCTTCGCACCTCCTCGGTCGCACCGGAAAACCGCCAAATAAAAAAGGGAAAAACAAAAAAAAGAAAAGTATATAACAAAAGACGAAGTGGTCACAAGTTAGTGTGAATAAATGAATCCTAACAGTGACACAAAGGCTAGTCTGTTTGTGGACAAAAATCGAGATCAGATTAAAGTCTTCGTCTTCAGAGAATATTTAACCAAATTTTCGTTAAATATCAGAAGACATGGGGATATATACCCAAATAAAGCCATTTCATGAAAGGACTAAAAATCTCTGACAACAAACCTCAAAACGATACAGGAAAGTAACTACTCTTTCACTTGGTTCAAATATATCACAAAGGTTCAAATAGATTTGTTATCATCTGAGGCAGAGTTTATTTTTGTCAAACAATAAGATAACAAAATAAATATAAAAACACTCTTCAAACATGCACACTCTTCAAGAAACTTCTATCATGTCTGGTTTTGACATACAATAGAGCTTAACAAGTCTGCTTTGAAATTCAGAAAGGCAAAAATACATTTTTCTCAAGATATCTAAAGCAAAACATGTTTCCAGCAATTTTAGGTTTAAACTATGAATTAATCAACCAGTCAAAAATGATTCACAAAGCAAATCTTCTAGTGCCACTTTGATTTCAATTAGAGGATTCTGTCTGTAGGTAGGTGAACCCAAACTAATGTCCCCAAAGATGACAGACAAGCAGAGAGCTTTGGTGTCAATGTTTCAGAAGAGTAAAAGGAGAAGTAACCAGGAAACAGAGTAGAGACAAATACACCAAATATTATTGAAAACTCGCTAATCTGACAAACAAAACCAATCTGCCAACTATGTCTATGAAAGAATACAATACAGGAAAGTATCCTAGTCTAATCAGTCATAGAGCAACTAGGTATTTAGAAGCCAAGGCACATTCAGTTCAAGTGCAGACAGACAGAGTGAGAGATGTCTAAGCAGCAATACATTCATCAATCCAGAGTTTTTTTAAAGATGCTGCAATCACGTTATCACCATTAAGCACAAAAAGCATCTTCTCCCTGTCACAAACCTGAATCAAACATCCATTCACAACTCAATTTCGTCATTAGCATTAACAAACAAGTCATTTCAAAAAAGAGACTAATAAAATGCTTCACGCAAACGGACATTAGGTTGCAACCTATAATACTTTCAAGCAGATGATTCTAATATGAGAAAAAAAAAGCAGGTGATGATTATGACGGTTGCATACAGACTAACAGCTTTCGATATTTATAAATGAAAGCCAAAGCAGACAAAAAGAATAACATCAACTAGTGCCTAATATTACCCAACAATTCACCCAAAAACGAATATGATTCCATGCTAACAACATGGAGATAGTCACTTTCTCAGGCATTGCATCAAGTAGAAAATCCCACTAAACGCAAGCAATTAGACCAAAGTGGACACACGAAAGGAAAAAAAAAACAGAGAACTTCTAGCAAACAAACAAAGTAGAGCAACAGGCAAAAGAACCTATGCAAAAACCAGTGAAAAGGACCATACTCATGCAAACAAAAGCTACAACACAAGCAAGATCAAGCAAAAAAGAATAACTTAAATAAAAGGGAGAACCATCTCTCACCCATTCAGTAATTTGGTGGAACGTTGGGGTACATTCCTCCAAGAGGAACCCTTGGCACTGGGGAGGAACCAACAGGCTGATGCTGTACAGGATACGCTGAAGCTGATGAATGCCCATAGTGCCCACTCTCTGGATAACCACCACCAGACATTGAACTTGGTGGCATTCTATACGGACCACTTCCAGCACCAGGCCCACCGTAACCACCATTGGTACCACCCATCGATCCCGCACCATAGCTCCCAGAACCTGGACCACCGTATCCACTGTAAGGACCACCATATCCCGGACCTCCATAGGCACCTGCTCCAGCAGTCGCAACACCCATTGAAGATGGTGTGGAGTTCATATGATGCGGTGGAGGTCCTCCTGAGAAACCACTGTAAGCACCCAACCCACCAGGTCCACCGTGACCACCAGCTGGACCATAAGGTCCAGGAGGAGGCACCATACCCATTCCCTCACCGTGACCGTGACCGTGACCATGTCCAGGACCAGCACCAACATCTTGACCCGGTGGCTTTCCTTTCTTGCCATCTATAGCCAACTTACATTGCAGATGCTTCCCGTCAATCACCTTTGTAGGATCAGCAAGCGCCGCTTGAGCTCCCTCGGAGGTCTTATACACAAACAACGCGAATCCCCTTGATTTACCAGTAACCTTATCGAAACCCAAAGGACCTTCTTCAATATCCCCATAAGCAAGAAACTGATTCAATAACCTATCAGCAGGCATGTCAAACGGCACGTTCGCAACATAGATCTTCCTCATTGATATATCCGAGACATGAGCGGTAGCACCTTGGTTCCCGGCGGCCGCGAGCTGCGTCACCGTCACACGCCCATCAATCTTCTTAGACGGCTCTTTCAGAGCGAGAAGAGCTCCGTCCACGTGCTTGAATGTCACAAAGCCGTAACCTTTGGACTTCGCCGTTACCTTGTCGAGAATCACAATAGCCTCTTCGAGATCTCCGTAATTGGAGAAAAGCGACCTCAGACCTTCCGTCGTCGTCTCCGCCGCGAGGCCGCGGATGAAGAGCTTCCTCTGTGAGATGTCGGAATCTGCGGTCGATCGAACGAAATCCAGAACATCGGGATGCCGAACAACGGCCTCTTGCAAGATATCGAGAAGCTGATCAGTAGAGAAGCGCTCGATAATCTTCCTCGCGTCCTGCGGCATCAATCGAGTCGATACGGCGCCAACGAGCCCATCGTTTAGAATCCCGATGCCATTCTCATCGAGCCTTCGCTTCTTCATCATATCCATGGTAGACAATCTCTGTGAAGAAGATGCCTCTCGCCTTAAATCCTTAACCCTAGTCGAGCCACAGAGAGCGGTACAGATTACAGAAGACAAGGGTTGCAACAAGAAAAACAAAAAGAAAAATCGGTAAAAAATTTATGGAGGAAGATATGTTATTATATAGTCTAAGTTGGGCTTTTAAAGCCGACTTAATAAAAATGAGGCCCATTTATGGCCCATTATTGCCATTTTTCTTTTTTCATTTTTCAAATTTCTTTTTTTCTTTGTCCGTTTCTTTGAAAACAAAAAACTACCGGTGGATGGAAATCTACCACTCATAATGACGTTTTGGAGTCTTGAAGGAATGGTATTAAAATTAGGCAAGTTCGATGAAGATGAGTTGAAAATTTGAGTCAAACCAAAAGATGAGGAAGATGTGTTATTATATAGTCTAAGTTGGGCTTTTAAAGCCGACTTAATAAAAATGAGGCCCATTTATGGCCCATTATTGTTCCCCTCCCTTATCTGTTTCTCCCGCTCCGTCTCTCACTTTCTCTCTTCTACAGCAATGGCTCTAGCCGGAAAAAAACACCTTAGCGTTTGAGAAAACTGTAAAATTGAACAGCAAATTTTCGGAATTTTTTTTGTCTTCTTCATCTCCATCTCCATGCCGGAATGTCGCTACACTTGTGAGTGCTTAACTGTGATTTGCTCTTTCCGAATCTCTCTCTCTGTTCATATCATTTTGTGTTTTTTTTTTTTTCTGAAATTATATGCGAAGTCAATGAGACAAAATAACTTCGTTTATTCATTGAAGCATTTGGTTGATGGGTTTGTTTCTCGATTGGATTTGTTTTTAATTGCTTCGACCTATTTTGATTTGGTTTTCGAAATTATTGATTTTGCAGAGGGATATCCATGGAGATGAAGTACACTTTTCAATCAAGACGATGCGCTCTGTGTCTCCCAACTGCAGTTTACTGGAGTCTCAAAGAACCAATTATGCTGAGATTATCCAGTTCACTTGCTTGTTTGAGTTCTTTCAGACAACTGGAGTTAAAAACTGCTGCTTCTGTTCGGTCATTGCACAATGTGTTTGAGATTCATAGCAAAGAAGTCAATCCAAGTGTTTTCGAGGTGAATTCTATGGAAAAAGATGCTGAAGCTGAGAGTTCTTCAATCGTCGTCTCGGAGGATAATAGGAAGGTTAGAGAAGAGGAAAGGAGAAGGAAGATTGGATTAGCAAATAAAGGAAAAGTACCATGGAACAAAGGAAAGAAACACAGTGAAGGTAGAGAGAGAGAGAGAGAGAGATCTGCTTTTGCTTCTCTAAATCATTGCTTTTGCGAAGTGAGTTTTGATCAACCTTCTTAACAGACACTCGAAGACGAATCAAGCAGAGAATTATCGAAGCTTTGAGAAATCCCAAGGTGAAGTCAAGTAAGATTCATGCGATTCAATGACATTTGTTTGTAACATGTTACTATCTTTTTATCTTTACAATGAGAAACCATATGATTGATGTGAACAGAAAACGAGTTTGGCCTTTAACTTTTTTTTTTTTCTCTTCAACATTGTTCAGGTACGGAAGAAGATGTCTGAGCATGGACAACCACACAGGTAATAAGCTTCATTGTTTACATGTACTGTAATGAACTATTAAGCGTAGATACAGCGTATATAAGCCAAGTTGGTCACTTGCAGTGATGAAACCAAAGAGAAGTTAAGAGCTTTGGGGAAACAAGCTTGGGTAGTACGGTCAAGATTGAAGCGGTTAAAGGACAAGCTCACCTCATTGTGGTCAGAAAACATTGCAGAGGCTGCAAGAAAAGGAGGTAGTGGCCAAGTAGAGCTCGATTGGGACGGCTACGAAAATGCAAAACAGGAGATTTTATCTGAGAAGCTTCGGTTGGCTGAAGAGAAAGCAAGAACAAAGGAACAAACCAAGGTGAGAGCAGAAGAAGCTGCACAAGCCAGGACCGAGAAGATGAGGAGAGTCGCAGAACGAACCAAGGTGAGAGCAGAAGAAGCTGCACAAGCCAGGACCGAGAAGATGAGGAGAGTCGCAGAACGAAAGAAAGAACGTGAAGAGAGAGAACGAAAGAAAGAACGTGAAGAGAGAGACCGAAGAGAAGGAAAGATACGAAAACCAAAGAAGAACAAAGAGTGTGCAACCATTACCTCATGTTTAAAACTGAAGAAGAGACTCGCAAAGGTAAAAGAAGTAAAAAAAAACTATTCCTTGGACGCCTTAGACAAAACAAGAAAACAACTTGATGACTCCTTGGTTTGCATAAATGTCTTGTCAGATTCACAAGAAGAAAAAAAGTCCTGGTAAAATCGCTGTTGGCAAGGACAGACTAGTTTTGGTTGCAGCTAAACTGGAGAAGCTAGATTTGGAATTCATTAGGAAGGAGAGAACGAGAGGAAATATCTCGCTTGCAGATCAGATCCAAGCCGCCAAAAGCCTACGAGGAAAATATTGTTTTATCAAGATTTGGTCTTTTTGCAATGAAATCAATGGATTTTGATTAATTCTTTTTTCAACTCTTAGTTAATAAAGCTGTCCCTTCACTTCTTGTGCCACTAAATACTGAAATAAGACTTAAGGATATAATAAATAAACCAATTATTGATAGAAGAGTGCTACTTTAACTCATGAGGAAGTTATTATTATCTAGACTAACTCTCAGCCTCTCTCACACAAAGCAGAGTCACGACTACAGAACACTGACCACAATAGTTTCAGCTCTGTACTGAAAAGCTCATATACATGAAAACCCACAAACTATTAAACTACTTAACCATGGTACTGGTCCCTGTTGGGCGAGTAAGGCTGCTACTGCTGTTGGTATCCACCGTTCTGCTGCTAGTTTCCAGACCATCCTCCGTTCATGTTCGGTGGTGGTGGTCCCTGGTAGTTCTGGTTCATGTTTGGTGGCGGCTGTGGTGGTCCGTTGTAGTTCTGGTTCATGTTTGGTGGCGGCTGTGGTGGTCCGTTGTAGTTCTGGCCCATGTTCGGCGGAGGTTGACCCTGGTAGCTCTGGTTCATGCTCGGTGGTGGTGGTCCCTGATAGTTTGGTGGAGGAGGAGGTCCTCTGTAGCTCTGGTTCATGTTCGGTGGTGGTGTTCCCTGATAGTTTGGTGGAGGAGGAGGTCCTCTGTAGTTCTGGTTCAAGTTCGGCGGCGGTGCAGCGCCTCCCATACCCTGGTTTGGTGGTGGACCTCTATTATAGCCCATGTCTTGGTTTCCCCTATTGTTCTCTCTTCGCCTCTCAAAATCCCTGCCTCTATCTGACGGGTTGCGATTCCTGTTATTGCGGTTGTTTCTGTCATTTGCTTTAGCATTGTTCCTTATCCACTCCTCATGATACTTTGGGTCATAAGGAACAGCCTTTCCATCAATGAAAGGTTCTCCTGAAAAAACAGAGTCATTCAGAAACTTAACTCTTCTCATATCATGTGAAAAAAAAACAAATCTTGATCTACAATGCACACAAGTGTACGAGCAAATCGACTTACCTCCATAGTCTTTGTTCTTCACATCGAGGTAGGAATCAGGAAGAACCCATCTAACATTAGGCAAATCTGGATTTCACAGATACAAATTTAAGAATCCCCAAGCAAGTAAATATAAAGCAGAGGAAAACCACAAGCTTACCTTTGAGCTTGTGTGAAAGATCTTCTGAAACGAGAGCTCCAAAAGCAAAGTAGCATCTATGCGAAACAGAGTAGATTTTCATCCTCGCTTCTTCTTCACTGAAATGCACAATGAGACACACATTCAACACAATTAAAACCCTAGAGAAGCAGAGTATATAGTAGCTTGAGGAAAGGCAAAGAGGAAAAGATTTTGACTTTACCTGCCAACAACCTGGGCTAGGGTTTTGATGTAGGAGTCAATGATTTCGTCTCTAGAGAGATGGGGTTCAGGCGCTTCCACAACGACAAGCCAATGCTCGAAATCACAACCATCAAGCAAAATCGTCTCATTTGGTGGCCGGTTCGACCCATTAGGGTTCGAATAAGTCAGTGAAGACGAAGTAGCTTGCGTTGACAGATCTCTAGCTGAACACTGACCGGCACGGAGAATTGTGGAGAATCCGGCAACGAGAGGACGGGAACGGTTCAGCACCGGGAAAGCAGATCGAGAAGCCGTCAGAGAATTGGCGAGAGGAGATGACGAAGCGAAAGAGCGAGTGAAGATTCTCGAAAGGGATTCCGCCGGCCGGCGAAGGATGGATCGAGAAATTGTCTGCGTCGCCATGGTAGAAGACTAGAGAATCTAGTGGAGGTTTATCGAAATGTAAAACCCTAGGAAAATGAAATCGAAGCCTTTTTGCAGAGGATAGTTAAAGAGCGAATTACAATTGTAACCCCATTAAAATATTTATTTTATTATTAATTAATACCCTAAATAATCAGTTTACCGAAATTCTTCCATATAACCCACAATCCCCGTATAGAAACCCTCTAAATGAGCCAGATGTTTCGGAACACGTAATGGAATTTGTAGGTACATAACCACCAAACTGAGTTTCCTTTCTTTTTAAGATTTTTAGAATAAATAATGAATTAGCTAAAACAAGTTCACCAACAAGACAAACGTTTTACAGTCAAATTTTCAGCTCACCCAAATATGAGAATCTTCAGAAGAAACCAATCTCTTTTTTTTTCTTCTGTTAACTAAGAAACAATCTCTTTTAACTAAACTAAATACCTTCTCTTGTACCTCTTCACAATTCCAAATCCCAAATCAAAGAAAGAAACAAAAATGTTTTAAATTGTTTATCAAAAATATTCAAAATACAAAAGGCAATAAATGTTATCTACGTAAGAATATATCTGACTGTACCAATATCATTTAAAGAAACAAGTATTTTATCTAGCATTTTTAAGCTTTTAATCATAAATATCTTTGATTTTTTTTAGTCTCTCTCGGTCAATACTTTTCGGTTTTCATGGAAGGCAATGAGGGATAAGCTATTAAAGTCTGCTTTCGAAATGTTTGAATAACAGTTGAGGTTCCTTAAAGTTTGGTGCGTTAGTTCATCTTCTCTACCATTTATTCTTCGCTTAATCTCACACTCTTTGCTCTTGTTTTCTCTCATCTCTCAAAGTTTGATGCTTTCTTTTTCCCTCTTCCTTTCTTAGATGGAGTTACCGGTGAAAGCTCCTATTTCCGGTGGCCGGAAAGTCTCCTGTAGATTAGAAACCAAGAATCTGTCATATCGACTATGCGGAAACACTCCAACGTTTTCAAACGCATGTGGTTTGTTGAACGGAAAGGAAGAAAAGGTCATCTTAAAGGATGTTTCTTGTGAAGCAAGATCCGCAGAGATCACTGCCATCGCGGGTCCTAGTGGGGCTGGGAAAACCACGTTACTGGAGATACTCGCCGGAAAAGTTTCTCAAGGGAAAGTTTCAGGGCAAGTGCTTGTCAATGGTAGGCCTATGGATGGTCCTGAGTACCGGAGGATTTCAGGGTTTGTGCCACAAGAAGATGCTCTGTTTCCGTTTCTTACGGTGCAAGAAACACTGACGTACAGTGCACTCCTTAGGCTGAAGACGAGGAGAAAAGAGGCGGTCGTGAAGGTGAAGAAGCTGATCGAAGAACTCGGTCTCGAACATGTCGCCGACTCGAGGATTGGGGAAGGATCAAGAATATCTGGGATCTCTGGAGGAGAAAGAAGAAGGGTTTCTATTGGAGTCGAGCTTGTTCACGATCCGAATGTTCTACTGATTGATGAGCCGACCTCTGGTTTGGACTCTGCATCGGCTCTTCAAGTTGTGATGCTTCTCAAAGATATGACGGTAAAACAAGGTAAAACCATTGTTCTGACGATTCACCAGCCCGGTTTTCGCATACTCGAACAGATAAACCGGATAGTGTTGCTCTCTAATGGCCTGGTTGTTCAAAACGGATCGGTTAATAGCCTTCATCAGAAGATCAAGTTCTCCGGCCACCAGATTCCTCGCCGCGTAAATGTCTTGGAGTACGCAATTGATATTGCGGCGAGTCTTGAACCGGTCGTAACACAGAGCTGCAGAGAGATCTCGTGTTATGGTCATGGCAAAACATGGAAGAGTTGCTACAGTACTGCGGGAAGAGAGTTTCATCAATCTGATTCTCACAGCAACTCGGTGTTAGAGGAAGTGCAGATACTTGGGCAAAGATCTTGCAAGAACATCTTCAGAACCAAGCAACTGTTCACAACCAGAGCTTTGCAAGCCTCCATAGCCGGTCTGATACTCGGGTCGATCTACTTGAACGTGGGAAATGAAAAGCAAGAAGGGAAAGTCTTGCGAACCGGGTTCTTCGCGTTTACCCTCACTTTCCTGCTATCTTCCACAACAGAGGGACTTCCAATTTTCTTGCAAGACCGGAGAATCTTAATGAGAGAGACATCGAGAAGGGCTTACAGAGTTTTGTCATACGTTTTAGCGGATACCCTCATCTTCATTCCCTTCCTGTTGGTTATAAGCATGCTCTTTGCTACACCGGTTTATTGGCTGGTCGGTCTAAGAAGAGAGCTAGATGGGTTCCTCTACTTCTCGTTGGTGATCTGGATTGTTCTTCTGATGTCAAACTCATTTGTTGCATGTTTCAGTGCTCTCGTCCCAAACTTTATAATGGGGACATCGGTGATCTCAGGCCTCATGGGATCTTTCTTCCTCTTCTCTGGGTATTTCATCGCAAAGGATAGGATCCCGGTTTACTGGGAGTTCATGCACTATCTCAGCCTCTTCAAGTATCCATTCGAATGCCTGATGATCAACGAGTATCGAGGAGACGTGTTCTTAAAGGAACAAGACCTTAAGGAGTCTCAGAAATGGAGCAATCTTGGAATCATGGCAAGTTTCATTGTTGGGTACAGAGTCCTTGGATTCTTCATCTTGTGGTACAGATGTTACAGAACAAGAAGCTAGGTTAATAATAAACCAATCTACAGGTATAAATTCAATTTGTTTTAATTTTTGTTTTTTGTAATCTTAATAGAAAATTTTACTTTCTTACACAAGAATCTTTCTGATAAAAACAGAGTAACACCTCTTATATTTATAAGACATTATTATTAAGCATCATTTCATTCAACACAAAGCTCACTACAACAAAGGTCCACTCATGGATAAGTTGATACTTTTAAGCCTTTCTCTTATTAAAGTCACTCTTACCTAAAGATACACACCTCGCTAGAGTTCACACAAGTGTTGCCTTTGCGAGCTGAAGTCCTTTCTCGCGCCCGTAAAACTTCTCCACGATTGCAAGTGCAAACTCCAACGAGGTTCCAGGACCCCTGCTCGTTATGAGATTACCGTCCACCAACACTCTATGCTCGATGTGGCTCTGGTCCGACAGTTTACTGCACATTGCTGGAAACGCTGTCGCCTTCTTACCCTATATACAAACACCCATAAACTCATGAGAGTGAAAATAACAATGAAGTAATCATCGTATGCTATCCATTCGCTTTGTTTGTACCTTGAGTAAACCATGTGGCTCAAAGACCAGAGCAGGAGAGGCACAGATTGCTCCATATGGTTTGTTTGATTCCGCCTGCTTCTTTAACATATTCACTAGTTTCTCTGAATTCGCAAATGCTTCAGCACCACCGAGACCACCCTGTGAATTAAAAGAAGTTCATATCACGTTGGTTGTCAATTCATTCAACTTGTATATTCTCTCAGGCATCCAAAGAAGTTAGCACTCACAGGCAACACAATCAGATCGTATGAGTTCTTTTCAGCCTCGTCGAGAAGCACATCTGCCACTAGCTTGACTTTACGAGATGCTACCACTTCCAAGCTGTTACCAAGCGCAGCAACGACGACATTTGCTTTCGCTCGCCTCAGGACATCAATGATAGCAACAGCTTCCATTTCCTCCGAGCCGTCTGCAATGGGTACAAGAATCTGAAAAGGAAAACCACTGACTCTCAGTGTACGGAAGAATGTTGAATATAACAGATACTTAGATGCATAGGATGATTACTTCAAATAAACCCCTAATGTAGGAAAAGTGTGAGCATTTTGCCATTCAACTTTTTTCGTTTTGATATTCATCAAATAAACCCCTAAAGTAGCTTCTGCAACCAACTTATCTCTCACAATACATATATAACTCTTTTGCAAATGTTACGGGTGTGAAACTAAGTGGATAGGCAATTGAAAGTTACCTGTGGGGTACTGTCAAACGACCAGTTAATTTGGTTTAGCTCGGTGATAGTGTACTCATCACCAGGGTTGGGACGCATCACCTGATGTCAAAAGGGAAAGAAAAGCAGTCAAAGAGGATACAATGGAACAAGGACTATACTACCAAAGAATAGTTTTTTTCTTATGTAAATATCGAGTTTTTGTATCATATCGTTTTCAATTGCATGTAATCTCTCAAGAACAGGAAATGAGCACTGGACAGAGGAACAAATGCTGGAAATTTCAGCCTTTTACAAAGCTCAGATTCAAAGAAAATAACAGCAACAGCGAGGTAGAAAAAAGGTTCTATCAGATATATTAAGTTGCAGCTCTAACACTAGTAGGATGTCATCACAAGAGCATCAAATCATAAACAGCCACTTAAACTATCCTTCTCTGCTGAGTACTATCTTCGCAACAACAAAAAAATGGTGCTAAGATCTGTCAGTTCCCAAAATGTGGATTTGATAGAAGAGTCAGGGACACAAGACATACCAAGGGTGCAGAGACTTCCTCCGCTTTGTCTTTCCCAAGCAGTTGCTCCACAAGCGTGACAGAGAACTCCATGGTGGTTCCAGGCCCTCTACTGGTCACTATCCTCCCATCTATCTCCACTCTCGTCTCAACAGCTGTTGCACAGGTTGCCGCTAGCTTCTCCATAAAAACCGGGTAACATGTTGCCTGCGAGGAACACATGTGATCTATATACACCAACACACAATCTCCAAAACGAACGAAAGAACGAAAATTTATAGGATACATACTTTTTTACCCTCAAGTAGACCCCAAGTACCAAGCGCCAACGCCGGGGCACAACAGACCGCAGCGTTTAGCCGCCCATCTGTGTCTTGTTTCTTTACCATATTCTCTAAAGGTTTACAGTTCTTAAGAGTCTCGCCGCCGGGAAGCCCTCCCTTAACCAATCATATCACCAAACAAATAACATTAGCTATAAAAATCAATCATATGCTTATATACGATCAAGTAAGAGAATAACTAATGGCAAATGCATAACAACGATGTACGATAAAGATTCGCTCAAATCAACTCATCACTTCTGCAATTAATTGTTTCTATGAAAACAGCGAGCCCAGATTGATCCATGACCAAAGTAACAGATTGAAGGCGGAGAGATCAGAGACGTACAGGGAGCATAATAAGGTCGAAGACGGAGTCGGTAATATCAGAGAGAAGAGTATCGGCGACCATCTTGATTCCATGGCACGCATCAACGCCGACCTGATTCTCGACGGACGCCACCGTTACATCCGCCCCGCCTCGCCGCAGCACATCGATCATCACCACCGCTTCAAACGGCTCGGTACCATGTGCAACGGGAATCAAAACCTAAAGCACGACAAGACAAAACAAAACAAAAAAAAGCTCGGATTAATCAAGAGAAGTTACAGGATCGATAAGTATATGAAGAACTCGACAGCGATCTTACCTTCTTAGTAGGTGAAGCCATACTCGTAGAGAGAGAGAAGGATCGCCGATTCACGAGAAGAGAAGTTCGTCTCGAAGATGGAGAAATTGAGCGATGGAGTTTAGTGCTGAGAAATGGACTGACACTTGCTGGATTAAAATAGCGGTGACACGACGACGACGCCATTGACGACTTTAATTTTCCCCTTTTTCTAAATCCGTTTGATGAAAGAGAAGCAATGAAACGAGCACTATCCTGACGTGTCTAAACGTCATTGCTGGAAAGTGACCACGAGCTATTAATCATTACACGTCATCGTTAAGATAGAAAACTTTCTGTTTTGGGTAAATCCGTAAACGTAAACGGCGTGTAGTTGATAATAGAATACAACTACTACACATTTTAGTATTTTACTATTTTAGTGCAGAGTAACTATATTTTCCTACAGTTTAGAAGATAATAAAGTTGGAATTAGAAAATTTTAACTTTTTATGTTAAAATAAAAACTCAAGTATAAATATGTGACCGGGTCCGAAAAATTGGATCCACCGGATCGGAGGGAAAAAAAAAAATCCCCATTAACGAAGGTCTAGAGCTACTTTGCCACAATGCAATCTCCTCGCAAGCTGTTTCACGCGCGGCCATCACTCGCCACGCGCCGATCAACGGCTCTTATCGTATTAACTTCCTTAGCTATCGGAATCGCCGGATTCACATTTGGACTCGCCGTGATTCTCTTCCCGGCTCTCCGATTAACCGGCCGTAACTGCTTGACGAACTCTCCTCCGAAGACGGTGCGGGTCGTCTGGGACGTCGCCGGAAACAGTAATGGCGTTGGTGGCGAAGGGAAGAGGCACAAGGTTATGGGATTCGTTGGTATTCAAACCGGATTCGGATCGGCTGGCCGGAGACGAGCACTAAGGAAGACATGGTTGCCGTCAGATCCAGAAGGACTTCGACGGTACTGATTGATTTAGATTCCCTTGCCATTGTTCTTGTGAGAACCTGTTTGAATTGATAGCAAATCCATAGGTAGTTTTCTCCATTTTAGCTACAGGGCATCTGTTGGAATCATTGCTTCACTTAAAAATTGGTTTGATCTGGATTTGAATTAGCAAATCTGAGATCTTACTTCATAGATTGAAGTGAAGGCAATGAGAAACTTGATTTTGTATCGATCTTGCTTCCTGGTTCGAGATGAATCTGATTAGGTGGTGATTAGTGAACGTTAATTTCCAAAATCTCACTAAATTCAGGAAATAACAGTATAATCAACTTCATAGATCTTGTTTTGCTGTAGTACATTGAATAACAATGTTCTTTGCAGCTTGGAAGAATCTTCGGGATTGGCCATAAGGTTTGTGATAGGGAAAACCAAAAACGAGCAAAAAATGGCTGAGCTCAGAAGAGAAATCGCAGAGTATGATGACTTTGTACTGCTAGATATCGAAGAGGAGTACAGTAAGCTCCCTTACAAAACGTTAGTGAGAGTGATTTGCTTCTCTTTTCTTCCCCATATCTTATCTGACATAACATGATTCAAAAGGCTCTTAATAGTTAATACCTTCTTTTTTGTTATTATATAGTTTGGCTTTCTTCAAAGCTGCATACGCGCTTTATGATTCTGAATTCTATGTCAAAGCTGACGATGATATATACTTGAGGCCAGGTGATTATCTCTTATTATCCATCTCTGTTCTTCAGGACAAACATAAAAAGTCTTGGCCTTTGTATGAACTTCTGTTGTTTTATTTCATGTTTTAATTTTTCCTACAGATCGTCTCTCTCTGCTATTGGCGAAAGAGCGGAGTCACTCTCAAACATACCTAGGATGCTTGAAAAAGGGTCCAGTTTTCACAGATCCTAAGCTCAAATGGTAAGAAGGTGAGAACAAAACTGAGAACTCAATATATATATTTTTGAATCAAAAACTGGAATTTCGCAGGTATGAACCGTTGTCTCATCTGCTGGGAAAAGAATATTTTCTTCATGCTTATGGTCCGATCTATGCTCTCTCTGCTGATGTCGTAGCAAGTTTGGTTGCACTCAAGAATAACAGGCAAGTTCTATTTTCATAACTTGATGAAAATAGGGATCATATTGCCCTCTTTTCTCTCTGCGTAGTAAAAACTACTTGTTCGGCAACTGCAGTTTCAGGATGTTTAACAACGAGGACGTGACAATAGGTGCGTGGATGCTGGCAATGAACGTCAACCACGAGAACCATCACATCCTTTGCGAACCGGAATGTTCGCCTTCCTCTGTTGCGGTTTGGGACATCCCTAAATGCTCAGGTTCTGCGTTGTATTTCTTTCTTGCAGTTTCGATGGCTCTGTCTTTGGATGCTGAATTCAATTCAACAAGGCAACAAAGCATTTGACCATAAGAGTTTTTTTTAATGGTGCAGGTCTTTGTAATCCCGAGAAAAGAATGTTGGAACTTCACAAGCAAGAAAGCTGCTCGAAAAGCCCCACTTTACCATCAGATGATGAGTGATCATCTTCTTCCTCGTCCTTAACTTGAAATGTCCTTACAAAACCTCTTACACACAAAGAGAGAGATCCGCTTCTTCGACCAAACCCGCAGCAAGATTGCTTCACAGAGATTGCTCTGTTCTTTATTTTTTGTCTCTGATCTCAGAAGAGGGAAAGTTTCGATTTTGGTGTGCGTCCCAATGTGTAATCGTTTTTCTTATTTACTTTTATAACTTGAAAGCCGAAAACATGATTAAACAGAGAAAAGTAACTTCAAAAGACACAATACTGTACAAAGAAGAATGAAAAAGTCAGAAACACTTAGATAAGTTTCACATCCTCCACGAAATTTGGAAATGCGTGAACTCTATATTGTTTAAACTGTCTAATTACAGGAAGTTCAAAACTTACTGTTGTGGTAATGCTCCTCTCGATGTTGTAGTAGAAGACGAGAAAATGATCTCGTGTATCATAAGGTGTTCATGGAGCATCAAGTGTATACATTGGACACAAGAAAATTATAGTGAACCAAAATGTGTAATCGTTTTTCTATTATACTTTTTTTTATAACTTCAAAGCCGAAAACATAATAAAACAGAGAATAGTAACTTCAAAAGAAGAAGAAAAGTCATAAAAGAACAGATAAAAGATGTGTGATTAGTTATCTGTTTGGAAGAAGTAAAAACACTTAGATAAGTCTCACATCCTCCACAAAGTTTGGAAATGCGTGAACCCTAAATTTTCCATAATTTCTAAGTACAGGAAGTTCAATACGTACTGATGTGGTAATGTTGCTCTCGACATTGTAGAAGAAGGCGATAACAAGACCTGGTGGCTTGTTACGTTTATCCATTAGCCACAAGACGATCTCGCCACTGCCATTCGTTCCAGCAATGCGTAAATCCTTTCTAAAATACTGATATCCAAATGCATGGGGTATGTGGTAGCTATGCGCATGCTTTGACCATTTATGTTTCTCGGCATCCTCTAGAACCCACAGCTCAAAACCATGTTGGAGATCAAAATCACAAGCACCTAGCTTACCCTTGTAGTTTATCAGAAGCGAAGGTATTTTCAACTTTGTTGCCAAGTCTTGATCAACGTTGATGAAGCTGAACTCCTCAGACCTAACATCAAAGCACACCATCCTACGTTCGTTGTTGTGGCTCCCTGAAGGATAATACAAGACGCCATTGATGCAAATCCCATTATCCTCTAGCGGATAATGGAGCGTGTGACATTCGATCATCCTCCATGAGAGATGGTTTCTGTTTCCGGTCTCTAATGTCAGAACACAAAACTTAACGGACAATTTATCGAGACTCAACCATGTGATGCGCAGTACCTTGAACTGTTTTTCGATTGGATCGTACCCAAAATAATATCTTACTTTTCCTTTCATCCTCGCCATTCTCAATTTGGGTAGTAAGGTCAAAGACTCTCCTGTGACTGGATTAGTAATCATCGCGACTGTACAATTGTTCTCGTCTATGTGATGAAGACAGACCAATCCGCGGACAGGGCGACAGAAGTTGAGCAGTTTTTTGTCGGAAACGAAAGTCCAGTTATGATGAATGGTAGCTACATGAGACGACTTCTTGTCCGGATTATGAGTCTGAGGTGAAGAGTTGAAGAACAGAGTTTCTCCATCGTGGAAGGCGAAAAGGAGCCTCGGTGTTGCCGGAGTCTTGACCGGGAACAGCTCGTTGTAATTTGGGCGGCGAATTGTGGACGACCATAGCTTCGATACGCAACGACACTGAGCTTTAGAAGATGTCGACGGCAATTTCGACAAGATATTGATGACTAGTTCGACAGGGATATTATCAAAGCAATCCTTTTCTTCTTCCGATGTTATAGGCCGCTTCTTGTACCGGGATACGGTTAAATTATGGCCGGAGATGTGGTGCTTCCGTTTTATCATGGCGATGGACTAGAAACCCTAGATTGTGACCAGCGTAACCTTTATCTTATGCTTCAACCACACTCGATAAATTGGGCTTTGTTAGGGCCCAATATATTGTCACCAAATTTTAGGCCTAATTCAAACTGAAGAAAGGAGAGGAGCTTAGAGCATCTAACCTCTATAAATTAATATTCGATAAATTAATAGTTTTTATCGGTCCCAAGTCGAGCGAGTATAAAAATTGATAAAATTCGATAAGATAATAAGATAATACTTTTTTGAAAGTTAAATGTAAAAATATGGTCCCAATAATAATATAAATTAGTAATATAATATAGTAAAATATGATAGTATTATTGTTTCAAGTTTGTAAGTTTTGTTTGATTTATCTTCTAATATCATTATTATGATATTTTTAATGAATTTTACATCATTGAATTTTTTTTTTTTGGTTTTCGATGAACATTAAGAAGTTGAACCTAAAAGTATTTCTATAAATTAATAAAATATTAAATTATCGATAAATTAATAACTATATAAATTAATAAAATCTTAGAGTCCCAACATTATTAATTTATAGAGGTTTTACTGTACTTCATTTCCAATTCCAAATCCCATTTTGGAGTAAATTTATCTTATCTTTACTCTATTTTTTACTTTAAAATAGAGTAAACCTAAATTTTACTCCATAATTAGAGTAGATGTAAATTCTACTCTATTATAGTTAAACTTTTTTTTATTTACAAACTGGTTCTTTAAATATTAAATAATTTTATTTTATACTATTTTATTTACAAACATTGTAAAATAACTATAAATATGTTAACACTAAAATTAGTATTAAAAATGGTAAAATTGTTTTACATGATATAATGACTACATGTGTGATTTTACATAACATGATCTCAAAGCACTAATTGGAGTTGAAAGAGAAATTGTACCTCCTGACGTCCAAATAGTAGATAATAAAAATTTCCGGTTTCAAGAATCTTTGTTGACTTAGAAAAATAAAAGATAAAGAAACTCATTTTTCACTTCAAAATACATTAATTTCCTATATTTTTATGATACTATATAATTTTATTTACTTGATAAATATTTAGTTTGTAATTTATAAAATTTTGCAAATAACAAAATAAATGAGTTTATTTATAAATTTTAGAAATAAAATATTTTAATAATGAAATAGAAAAATAATCTATTGAGAATATTATCTTTTAAAGTAAAAAATAGAAGCAAGATTTAACTCCATTTTGAAGTTACTGTAGAAATATACATTGGAGATAGTTTTTGAACATATAGAATTCATTATGCATGACCATGACCATGACCATGACCGCTATATCCAAGAAGTATCGAGCCCACTCATAGAACTTCGAGCTGATCAGAAGCATCGAGCCAACAAGTCGCAGCCAATCTCTCATATGTTTCTTCAAGCCGTTGATCCATCAAATTAAACCTCCTATAACACGGTTCAAAATGTTGTTGTCAAAGTATCAAATCTAGATCTCTTCATGTTGTATTAAGTAGGTTTATTATTATTGTATGTCATAGTTTTTATAGCTATGATCAAAAATATTATGAACCAATGGAGTAGTCAATTTTTGTTTTTGTTTTACTTTTTAACTTAAACAAAAAAATATTAACCTCAAATGAAGCAAAATAAAAAAAAAAACAAAATCTATACTATATAAAAATTGGGAATCTAACACGTCAGCATTCTTTTTCGACACATATTCACAAAAATATTAAAAAAAGGAAAAAAAATATCTCATGAGACCAGTCTTTTCGTTGATACCTACCATTAATTTTTCTTTCAGTCAAACAAAAACCAGCTTCTCCCAAAGATTATATGATTTATAACTCTTGCTGAAGGATGTTGAAAAAACATATTTTAGTTTTCAAAGTGATGTACATGAGTAATTATTGCTCATACCATTTTTATTTTATTTTTGCATGAATGCTTTGGATGACAACATCATGAATTCCTGTGCTATCAATGCAAGTCCTATTATGGCTGTCTTCATGCATATGTTGAGCAATGAGCATACCTGTTCTTTTTCAACCAATGGTTCAATACTGCATTGGTTGTAGAAAGGAGTTTCATAACTTCTTTTAGCTATATGTTCATTTTTTTTTTCTTTTGTGAACTTTGGGAACATATACTTAAAGTTATAGTACCGCATAATTCTGATCATATACCGGTATTTGTTTTAGCTTTTCTCTCTGTTGATTGTTCACTCTTCAATGTGTTGATATATCAGTTTCTTCTCTCATTCCTTCGCTTCACCTCTTTCAGGTTCTTGACCAAACTGCTGACAGAAGATTTGCCTCGATTGTTTGTGCGCCCTAAGAAAATTGTCTTGGATTTTCAGAAAGGAAAAGCTGTTGGACCTGTTGCAGAAGACCTCAAATCTGGAGACATGCAGGAAGGGGACAAGGATTTTGTTGGGGAATTGTCTGTTACTCTTATAGATGCCCATAAACTTCTATACATGTTCTCTGGTAAGTGACACTCACTCCAAATCTGTCTTCTTCTTCAGTTGCAGTCTGTGTTATATTAGTGTCTATATATAACCCTAGTTCATTCGAATTTGCTGAGCGATAAAAACCAGCTATATCAATGCATTCATCACATATAGTGAATTCTTCATCACTTTACTTGTTTCTTCATTCAGCACATTTTGCTATAATTTGAAACAGGTAGAACGGATCCATATGTTATTTTATGAACAGTCAAACTACTGTGATTGGGGCTCCTGGTCAGCCAATCTAGAATCAGGTGAAGTGCTTAAATTATCTCAATATCTTATTCATAATTTGGTGGTAGTTTAGAGAATTCATATTACATTTTTCAAAACAAAGAATATGTCAGAGATTGGCAAAAACAAAACAAAAAAATGATTCCACAACTGAAATTGTTTCTTTTTATTTAAATAAATTATATTCCTAGGTTTAAAAACTATAATCTTTTATCTTATACGTAAACGTCAAATCCAGAAACAAAAAAATGTCAAAAGTTTAAAAACTTTTACGTACAATCTTTTATCTTATGTACAAAAATAAATATACACTATCAATATTATAATTATATTTAAATTCATCAAAATAATTAATAATAAATATAAAAATAAAAATATTTTTAACTGGTAACTAATAAAGGAACAAAAAAATAGAATGAATGAATAAATTGTATAAAATAAAAAAATAAATACTTATTGTTCTTTCATGAATTTTATAAGGAATAATTTTGTTTTCTAATTCCCTATAAAAAAAAGAATTCACATGGAATCAATATCGTAAATGGTATATTTTTAAATAATGAAAAAGAATATTTTACTCCTCATCATTTCTTTTATCACCAGTTAGACCCTTTTATGTATGTACAAAATTTTTTTTTGCTTACAAAAATAAATGAAAACCTTTCCAA